TGACAAGTCATGTGGCTGGTGAACAGAAGCATGGACCCTTTCCTGCTCATTAAAAGCTTATTTATTCAGTCAGGGATAGGGAACTTAATTTTCTTTTGTACCAAATGTGTAAGAGCATTATAGCATCAATATAAAATAATTATTTTAAGTTACTTGAAATATGTTTATAGAAGGAAATATTTTGTATGTAAGTCCAGCCTTGACACAATACAAACAAATGTTAATGAGCTATTTCCCAAGAAAGCTTCCAAATTCATTTAAAATGAAGGTGTAAGATGGGTGCACTGTTTAAAATTAGAATGCAAGTTGGTGAGCAGCAAAGGAAAAGCCTCATCATTTCCACAGTGGAAAAGTTTAGGAATGTGTCTGTAAGATTGTAGTGTTGTTGCAACTTGTTTTCTTACCCCATTTATCAGAATGATAAAGTGGTGACAGGAGGTACTCTGCTTGCATCCGGAATGTCTTCCTGATGTATCCTCATGATTGATGTGGTTCATTTTAGAGATGTCTGCAAGAGAGCAGCATCAAGCACAAACTACTGTGATTGGAAAGAAAGATTTTGTCATAAATTCTAACACAGTAAAGAGAAAGTTGTTTGCTTTGCCAGGAGTCAGGACATCTTTCAAAACAGTTTTATGCAAACCTATGAAATTAAGGTGCCTTCTGTGATTAGAAACTCCTGTGCTCTTCCCTTAATTCAAAAGAGGTAAAACACTTCTCTTAAGCAAGTTTGTATGACAAACTATAAGATTTTAAGATATTTTTGTTGCTGTTTTTTAAGGGCATTATGATCTGAATACAATAAATGTGTTTTTAAAACTACATTTGTTAAATGGGAGTTTGCTGCATACCTGCAATTTCCAAATGTACTAAACCTGAAGATAATTACAGACATGATATAAGGAGTCACAAATATCTCCCCCCCCCTTTTTTTTTTTTTTTTTGTATGTCCTCTGTCAGCAGGGTGTTGTAGAAGAGTTAACAATAAGCATGCAAATATCCTTAGGTATTTTTTTGCCAAGCTTTACTTGTTTCCCCATCTGTGTAAAAGCCACCCTTATTGGTGCATATCCCTGTGGGGACCTTCTGAGCATGAGAGTAGCCATATGTCAAGGCCAGAGCTGGCCATCAAAATCAGGGTGTTGCCTGTTTATTATGAGAATGCCTGTAGACAATTATATGAATTTATGATCATTCTAAATCACTGTATGTTGATGTAAATAAGATGTGTGATGAGACCTTATTTGTGTAATAAGATTGTTGATTTTAATAGCCTTTGGGATGGCAAGTTAAGAATGAGAGAAACACATAGATTAAGGTTTTTATCAGATAGCATTAAATCAAGATTTTGGCAGTAGGAAACAAGAACAGGAGATACCAGCTTTAAAAACAGTTCCTGCAGCTGTTATTAATCATACAGATAATGCATAATATAAGATGGTTACATAAGATCCCTTGGTTTAAAGTTGCCCTTAGCAGATAATGCCTAATATAAGATCCCTTGGTTTAAAGTTGCCCTTAAAATGTGTAATTTGAAACGGAAATGAACCTTTCTTCTGAGGCAGTGGCAGCATTACCATCTGAGCACTGCTGAAGGCTCTTTAGCAAGATAAGGGAAACGGATGGTGCTTGGAGCTGGAACTCCCACGTTGCCTGTGGACAGCTTGTTGAAACAAATTTTCAGATTTTAGTAGAAGCTGCTCAGAGCCTGCAGCGCTGGAGATCCCTCAGGGCCCCTTTTGTTTGATGCAGGTGAACAGGGGATGGCAGGTCCAAGGTGGCTGACCTTGAACAGGGGTCATCAAATCAGCTCTTGGTAACAAAGCAGTGCAAAAATACCTAAGGCTCACTGAGAGCAGTATGAAATCTAAAAAATGCATTTCTTGTATTCCCAGGCAACACATTATCAAAAAGACTGCAGGCAAACCCACCTACCTTACTATAAATAGTAGGTATATAGGTTGACAGCGATTGCCATCTTGTGTACAGTGATGTTCCTTAAAGTGCTCTCAGTACCTGCTTTGCCTCAGTTACAGCTGCCATAAAATTTTTCACATAATATGAGCATCTTGCATGATGGTCTACTTTACTTAATAAAAGTGGAGTTATACTCTTTTTAATTATACTAGCAAGTAAGCCAGTGTGATTGGCCTGGTAACTGTGAATGTGAGTCTTGGAAGGTAAGTGCCCTCTAAAGATTTTTGTTAGTAAGTCTTGCCAAATTTTGCAAGATATGGGAGGAGGGGTTAATTGATAGCTGTATTAAATCTGCTTTCTTAATATTAGGTCATTAATTTGATATACCTTTCAGGTGCAGTGGACATTGCTATCAATGATATTTAGTTTTTACTTCCCTGATGCTCTATAAATAGCATGTTAATTTTAAGAATCACTATCTAGTGACATAGTTAGCTTTTTTTTTGAGGGCTCATAATGAGCAGTTCATGTAGCACAATATTATCTTTTAGTTACCTAGATTCTATAATTGGCATACAAAGTTGTAACTCCAGATCAGTATTTTTACCTATTAAATCTATAGTATAGATGAATGCTCTTTCTTATGAGAAAGGAAAAGAAGTTTTTAAGAATCATGGAGACAGCATCTTCCTGCTTTCTCCTTCCTGAAGCATATGTAAGCACTGCATTTATAGGAGCCATTTAGCCAAACTAATGAGCAACTGGCTTGTGGATAAAGGGGGAGCAGCACTCCAGGTTGTCTGCTCCTGTACCTGTGTGTGTGTTCACTTGTCCTTGGCCATCAGTTAAGTTGTCTCTCTGGCCCTCTGACTCCGTGCCTCTCCAGCACTGGGTGTTTGCAGTTGCAGAGTTGAAGTGTGCTGCCTGGTGGAGATCTCAGCCCCATCTCCAGGAGGGGCACAGGGAGCATCACTTGATGCCCCTTGGAGAGGTGGCTGCAGCACAGCACACAGCTTGGCTGGAGCTGCTGTGGGCCACAAGGCAGGCACACCAAATGTCAGGTGCCTGGCTGCATAAATAATTCCTGTGTGCTGGACAAGACCGGATACTCTGTATTTCAGGCATGGGCTGGGGTGTCTTGCTCAAGAGAAGGAAGTAGTTCACCTTACTGAAAGACACGGATATAAATTGTCTAAAGATTTGGGTTAATGCTGATTTGCTTCATTTATGCCATTTGTTGTGCAGCTATAAACTTGAAAAGTTTTGTGTTTCTTCTCTAATGAAGTTATTTGGCAAATGCAGATCTATTAACCCTAGAAATACAAAGTGTACAGTCCCAGCCTGAGTCATTTAATTTTAAGGAGTGAGCAAGACTCTGGGCTTATGTGTCTTTATTGAGAACATCTCTGTTAATAATGTTTCCTATTAGTAAAGCATAATTTTGGAAGTCTGCCATCATTGTTTTAGAAGTGGCACGCAGACAAGAAAGGATGTAGTTTAATTGTAGTGAGGTTAAAGGATCCTGCGGTGTTCCAGACATTTAATGCTTGGCTCCAACTTTTCTGGAGTCTAAACCTTTGAATGGACATTTCAAATTAATTTTAGGTTTTCTGAGTTACTAATTCAATTGATAAAACTGGATTTAGTAACCAAACCAAGGCAACTGTCAGAATAAATAGTGCTGAAGTATTCTGCTAGTGTCAATAGCAGCATCATTCTTATCCACGTTTTCATTAGTGTTTATGATATGCAGAAGACAATTATTTTATAATAGGGGCAGATATAAAAAGAATACATTGTCTTTTAGATCAGTCTGAATTGTTAATTGATCAGTTGAGTAATTGTTAATTTTGGAAACATTCTGGGGATCTTCATGTTACGAATGTTGGAGGTCCTTACCTTCAGATAAGGTAAGATAGATAATTCTGCAGACAGGTCTTAAGGAAACTTGTATAACTACTTTTCTACATTTACTGAGTTTCCCAGGTGCATTTCTAACAGATACTCTGTGCTGTCATTTCTGATAGTACAACCTGTGTCCTCAATGTGATACACAGGACACCTGATAGTTGTCAAAGTGGTTACTCTTTCTGAAGCCAAGTAGCAAAGTGTTGAGACTTTACTAACATATGATACAGACTGCTCCCAAGTTGTGCACATGAGATAAGTGTTTCTGGAAATCCATACTGTTTATGGATATATACTACTTGCTTCTGTTTATCACAGATGAGACCATTTGTCTTGATTTTTTTGGTTTTTAACCTCTTGATAATGGTGAAATGTGACATCTCCCCTTGTAATACTGTATAATGATGTTTTAATGCTGACAGTAAATCTATACTTGACATAATACAGTGAGATATGTACATTTTCCCATGTTTCAAGCTGCTTTATGTGTGGGGTTTTACTGTGAGAAAATTGTATCATTTGGTTGCATGCCACAAAATAAATTGCAACAAAGATCCCTTCTCAGCCTTGGGAAGGAGGAAACAACATCATCCATTTTTCTAGGAAAGCAGTCCCCTCAGGCTGAGACAGCACACAAAATTTGTTTTATAATAAAAAAGCTTTTAAAAATAAACTTCAAGGGGGATTACTGTTGTCAACTTGGCTCAAAAGCTTTCAGTGAAAATTCATATGAGCTAGCCATGGAGAAAGGTGTTATTACTCTTTTATTATGCAGCAAGGTGCATTACTGGTGAAGACCTGTATTTTGCAGGAAACTGCAATCTGCATACAATTTTCTTTGTCTTATCACAGTACAGAACACATATGGATACTTTTTTTGGTGCAGAGATGATGATGATGATGATGATAATGATTTTAGAAATTAGCTTCAAGTTAAGAGGCTGTTATTGCCTTAGGGGTGCCTGTATTCTTACCCACCTTAAGGCACACTTTTTTGGTTTAACAAGAGGAGGGGCCTGCATGTGCTGTGTATTTGTTAATTCAGCTAATCACGGAAGAGTACTTTAACTTATCTTGGTGCAATGTATAAGAGTAACTGAGAGCATTTCAATGGCAGGAAGTACAGGACTTCAGATTGATGTGGCTTCCATTTTTCATCTTCTTTTGTTTTGCAGTCCACTCCTTTACACTTAGCAGCTGGCTACAACAGGGTTCGGATAGTCCAGCTTCTGCTTCAGCATGGTGCAGATGTACACGCAAAGGACAAAGGGTATGTGCAATTAATTGATTTCTTACTCATTTGCAGCAGTGGTTCTGTATTAGGCAAGATACAGGATTATTTCTTTGGTTCATGTTGCAGCACAATCTCAAATAGTTGTCTAAGAATGTGGTATTTGCTTCCAAAATCTGAGTGTGCTTCAGATTAGTTGTGATTGCACTTGTTTTAAGGCTTCTTTTACACCTTCAAATCTTTTTCCAAACTTCGAGCTTTACTTCCATTCACAGACTACTCTTTAAAATTATGGACTAACAGCATTATTTTTGGAAAGGTGATGGGGAGAAGATACAAGGGCTTAGTGAAAGATGTGCATTGAAAAACTCACCTATGGCCTCATTATCTTGTTTCACATATATGGCTGTAATTCCAAGTAGCATCAGTAATGCTCATGTGCTCACAACTAGTGGTCCTTGTAGATGTATCTTTGTTGAAGCTGACAGCAAAAATCAAGATATAGTAGAGGCTAAACTATTCTATTTTTGCATTAAGAGTGGTAGTTATGTAAGATATCAGCTAAGTGCACAGCAGTCAGAATTCTGAAATGATGCTTGCTCTGTGTTGTCCTCAGCCATACATTTCTGATTTCTAAGATGATTATTTTCATGATGGTTGGATTGGAAGGCTTAGTCCTAACATGGTAGAAATTGGGCCCCTAGTTAAAGGCATGCATTTTGTATTCAGAATCCATAGAAGTAAGATATGTGTGTGTGCTGTCTCCAGCAGCAAACCTGAGGCACTTCCTGTATTTTCATTTTCTGCTAGTGTTGGAAGTGATTTTAAATCTTCTTAGCTTCTTTCCTTTTTTCCCTTTCTCTCCAAAACAGTCCAAAATGTATTTAAACTTGTAAAGTTTGATTAATTGTAGCTCTTTCATCTGTCCATTTACTCCAGTGGGTTTTTTTAAACAGTATTGTTGTTAAATGCATAATGATGTATTATGCAAGTCAAAAAAATCAAAAATACAACCAAAAAACCCCCCAAAAACTACAGAAAACCAAAACACACAACGACCCCCCCAAAAAAAAACCCAAACCCAGAAAACACAACAAAACACCTTCCCCCCGCCCCTCAAAAATAACCCACAAAAGTCCTACAGTAAAGCTCCATATAGTACCTGTTTAGGTAGATCAAGCATTATTTAAGCAGGTTGAAGGTCTTTTGTACCTTTCCAAAATTTCAGCATCAGTTGGTAGAAAATTTCAGTGTAGATGCTGTAATGATTTTGAACAATTTACTTGGAATGTATGAGAGGTAGTTAAGTTGAACTTGAACTTGGGGCTGGAGCAGGAGGGGAAGGAAAGCAAACAAAGAAAGGAAAACCTTTCAATACTTACTCTGTACTGAACTTTAAAAGAACCTAAACATATTTAGAAACATCTAACATCCTAGTAAGCTCCCACTTTTTTTTTTTTTAGTGGCACCACACATTTAGAATCAGTATGGTGTTTTACCTTGCTGTTACTTATTTATACATAATATATAAGTAAATAGGCTATAAATAACTGTCACTTTTCATTTAAGGAGCTAAATTAGTCCACATTGATTTTATAGAACTCTTAGGTTCTCTCCAATTGAGTCAATTCAGAGAAAGTGCTTAGGAATTGTTCTGTATTTTCAAAATGGTCACCCTTCTAGTTACTCCCAAAGAGAAGCACAGCAAGGAAGCCCTCAGTCCTCTGAGAGGACCATCGTTTTGGAAGGGGGCAGGTTTTTTGAGTGCTCTGTGGAATGGATAGTCTTTCTCTGTCTCACACGTGCACCAATAAGTTGTAATTTAAAAAAAGTAATGATGGAAAAAACAGTCTGAAAAATTTTCCCCAAACAAATTTTCCTCTCCTGTGACAAATATGTTGCTGCTTCTGAGAGCATCCACCTTAAAATTAAATTTATTTAATTGCTGTCTACTACTTGCTGTCCTAATTATTTCTGAGTTGGTTTTGCAGTCCTGGGAATTACCCCCTGTATTTTTCATAGGTATTATGGGGTTAATTATGGTTTTCATGTATTATGTGTACTGATCTGTTGAGCCATAACTAGCCTGTCATGCTTGGCTTGAATTAAACTAATTTTGTCCTCTGCAGTAATTGCCCATCTCACATCTCCTTTTCAATGCATTACTTTTATTACATCTTGTGCTTGTGACTAAATCCCTGTTATTTACTTTGCTAGTGTCATATTTAAGTATGGCCTGCAGTAATACAACACTACAAAAATTACAGGGACTCTCTTAGAAGTATCTTGAACAGTTAAATAGGTTGTACTGTAAAAAATGGAGGAAAATCAGGTCATTCCACAGTCTAGAGCAGCAATTTGAGTCTGCTTTCTATGGATATTTGTACATCTTCATAAAATACCCAGGAGTTACGTTAGTGTTATCTGGGGAGTTTTGCCTTTCACATAGCATTTTAAACAGGGGTTCCTATTTAGGCAGAAGCAGAACGCTGTTGGGGAAATCGAACATGGAATGGGACTTCTCCCCCTCCTTAACAGCATCAAGAAAGATCACATCAAAGCCAGTTAGTGCTAGTCTTAATGGTAGATTAAACATCTGTGGCCTTTTGAGACAAAAAAAACCCAAACCACAGAACAAAAAAAACCGAGCAGAAAACCCCAAGTTTTAATGCCACTCTTAAATAACATGTTGTTTCGGAAAGTCAGATTTTCTCATTAGTTTGTAAATCCTAATTTTTAAATGCTTAACTACTTAAATATTTTAACTTTAATTTGATCTTTTCATCTCAGTAGGGAGAAAATTGTTCCTCCCTTAAAAATGCCACTTTAAAAAAATTTGTCATTTGCCTTCTTCCATGCAGTGGTCTTGTGCCTCTTCATAATGCATGTTCCTATGGACACTATGAGGTTACAGAGCTGCTGCTTAAGGTAAGCAGAAGGATGGGAAGTAATTACTGTTGATTTAGGTGTGTTAGATGAGATATGAATTGGGGCTGAAAAGTAAGCTTATTTTTTCCTGACAGTAACAGGTTTCAAACATCATATTGTCATTTCAGAAGCCTGCAACTGTAGGTCTTTGTTGAAACAGTATATGGTTTTTTTTCTCTATCTAATTTCTTTGGACTGATGGCAGAGTTGGATCTTCCTGTTCAAAAATTAGCTCACATAAAAATTCCAATTATTTTTTGCAGATTCATTGGTATTTTTGCGTATGCTGGTATTTTTAATTAAATTTTGTGTGTGTGTGTTTATACGTGACTGATTTGAACACATTTTTATAATAAAATGAAAAGTTGTAAGCATTTTAGTTGTTGAAGATGATTTCTTCCTAATCCAAGGCTTTTTTTTGCTGTGCTAGCATGGTGCCTGTGTGAATGCTATGGACCTGTGGCAGTTCACCCCGCTGCACGAGGCTGCTTCCAAGAACCGTGTGGAGGTCTGCTCCCTCCTGCTGAGCCACGGCGCCGATCCCACCTTGGTCAACTGCCACGGCAAGAGTGCGGTTGACATGGCTCCAACGCCTGAGCTCAGGGAGAGACTGACCTGTAAGTGCTTCCAGACTGGAAACACGTGCTGGTGGGGGTGAAAGGGTTGCTTTCCTTCCAGGCCACCTTCGCCAAGCTTCAGAAGTGGATGCAAAGCAGCAGAGCAGCTGCAGCTGTGTGCATCTGTACCTCTGATACATCGTTTCTCGTATTGCCTGGTTTTCTGAAGTTTAGAATTATTAATGCACTGCTGAATCAGTGTCTTAGGGATTTGTTTTATGCTTAAAGTCCAGTTCAGTCACACAGGAGCCTCTATATTGAGGCTCAGTATTGCATTTAGAAACTTACAGAAGGTAAGTACCTTTGGTATGCAGCCTTGGAGATGGAAATTCCATCACCTTCTTTTGTAGCAATCCTTATGCTGTTTACAAACCAATATTTTATCTCTAATTTTAATATGTGTGCCTTTGCTTTCCCTCTTTGGGAGATTTGTTTCCTGACTCTTATAAAATGTAAAAGATAATTAAATGAGACATATATGGAAAGAGAGCATTATGAAGGTACAGAAAACTTCTTGAGAATTAGAATCTCAATTATAATTAAGTTTTTGGTTTTGTCTCTCACCTTTCCAGTATAGCAGAAGGCCCCAGACACTAATAATGTGATCCTGCACTACTCACAATCACAGCTAGTCAGGTTTTTATCTACTCACTATTCTTTGCAGGGGAAGATGATGAGATCATGCACAGCAGAAAACTTTGGTCTAGAAGAGGAGGGCATTAGTATCTTTTAGGTACTTCTCTACTCTGAGTCCTGGGCTATAGTTTCTGACTCTGAGGGAGGTTAATTTAGTATTTATTTAAATTAACAAGCAAAAAAAAAATCATTTTAAACTTTGGTTTATTTCTGTACTTAGAGTTCCTTAAGAGTAATGAGGGAAGATTCATGTCCATTAATATCCACTAAAATGTGTAAACAAATGTGAGCATTATGTCAAATTTGACAGTATCTTGATGGGATAGCTTGTATTTGCATCCCAAAATATCATGGTTTTATGTTCTCAACTTGTTTCACCTTATATTTTGTAATAAAGTTACATTTGTTATTTCAAGATTTATTTGCACTTGTGCTTTGAGTAGTGCTTTGCTTACAAAGAAATTTAAACCAGACATTAAAACAAAGGTGAGAGAAGAAAGCCCCTCATTAACAAACTTAGGATTTCAAGCTTGCTTATGAAACAAAAATATTTCTACTTTTACTGAAATTGACGTATTTTTTTCTAGTTCCCAGGGTCAGATGTCATTTTTGTTAACCTGCCTTTTGTCTGAACATTTTAAGAGAAACACTTATTTTCAAATTTAAAGTTATTTAAAACTCAAATGAACTAGTTGCTGAGCTAAACAAGATTTGGAAATAGCAAAATTAGTAAGCTGTACCTGCAAAGATATACCTGCTGTCAAAACTTGTTTCATCTTTGGAGCAGACTAGCTTCAAATGCTTAGCTAGTTAGCTTTCTTTAAGATCAATAGTTTAGTATTTTATATTTCAATTTTATATCTGTATCATTATTGTTGGGTTTTTGTTATCGTTATTTATAATTTTATAAAAATTATATATATATATAGTTAATATACTTATAGTGAATTATTTGTCATACAAATACAATAAAGTTTTTGTAAAACAACTGTAATGCTTTATTTTCTTAAGAATAGCTCATAGCATTGTGCTTATTTGAACACACACACACAGATGTGTGTAACATAGAGGTCACATATGCATTTAATGTCAAGTGGGTGGAGGATAAAAGGGGGAAAAGCTATAAGGATTTAACTCAAGGAATAGCTTCCCCTGTCCTTTAGCATATCCCTTTGGTTTCAGCAAAGCTTCTTTCATGTTCTGTGTCCCAGGTCAGCTGGCACCCAAAGACATGCAGAAGCACTCCTCTTTCCTCTTAACTCAGTATAGCTGTCTTTCTGCACTAACATTTATAAATGTGACATTTTGCTGAATATTAAATGTGTCTTTTTCCTCTAACAGATGAATTCAAAGGACACTCTCTACTGCAAGCAGCCAGGGAGGCAGACCTAGCCAAAGTGAAAAAGACACTTGCTTTGGAGATCATTAATTTTAAGCAGCCACAGTCGCATGAGACTGCACTGGTGAGATTATACAGTCAATCCATTTGTTTAATGATAAATGTGCTGGGAGCCTGGAGTCAAGGAGTTTCATTTCTACACTATGAAAATACATTCATCATCTGAGATAGAGAATTTGGCATTGAACACTTTCTATGCTTAAATAAAATCACCACTATAGAAAAACCATCATATAATTTATTTTATCACTTTTTTCCTTCCTTCTGGTAGATTACAGAAGCTCTCCAGCCACTCTTCACTTTTTCATTTTCTGCTTCTTTTGCATTTTTTCCTATAAACCTCTTTTTTTGTTGGACTGTTCCTGTGGTTTTTTATGTGGTTAAATTTTATTTTTGTAGCCCAGTGGTTTCCTTCATGTTTTATGTGAGCAAACTTGGATTACAAATTTTCTTCGCAGGATACATAAAATTGTGGTGAAAACAGATGTATATCACAGAGCCTTACAAGTTTGGAATAGTACTGACAATACCACATTAGCTGTAGAAACAGGGTTCTTTTGAGACTTTCCTGGCATTATTCTGCTCTTATTAAATTGTTTAAAGAAGCAGTGGAAGCAAAGAACACAGCCAGTATCCCAGATGTAGTGAAAGCTATGAAGCTGACACTGATGGTATTATTAAAACCACTATAGTTATGATACTTTATTCCAATGGAACATTTTCTTCCCAGTGGCAGGTCTCAGCTGCAGGCATGCAACTGCATATTTAGTGTTGAAAGCATTGTGATTGTGATCAGAACATTGTGTGTTGGGTACCAAGCATCCATATGCTCTGTTTCCTCTGTGGAGGACTCATCATCCTTGCCTGAAGTTAGAAGCAAGATAGAGAAGAGAGGTTCATAGGCTGAATATGAAGAGAGTATGAAATTTGGGATGATGTTATCCTTTTCTTTCTGAGAGTATCAGCTGCTGCTATGTGGCATCTCTTTAGCTGTGTAATGATCACTTCACAGTCCTCTGATGTTCTTTGCTCTTTTCTGCCTGCTGATTCTACAGAGACAGCTGGACCAAATGGAATATTTTAGGTCTATTGATGTATTTGGTTCACTGTTCACTAAGTGCTTGACTGTGATTTTTCAGTTTTTGGCTGCTATATGTGAGCTTTCCAAATTGTCACCAGTCCAAATTAAAGGACGTAGCTTCCAGGATCAGATGAGGTTGTGTGTAATCTAACTGAACTATTTCTGCCCTAAGCATGATAACATTTTCCATGGGCCACTGGCATCTCTTCTGAATTAGCCAAAAGGCCAAAGCAAGCACCTGACATAGGTTTTAGTGTTGCTTTGATGTTTGGCAATACTTCAGCATTTGTGTGTTTTAGGACTTGTTTATTATATAGGCAGGAAATAGAGACAGGATATTATCTGCAAAGCCTTAAAAATGGTGCCTCACTTCACAGCAAAAGTTGATCTTAATGTTTATTTACAAAGCTTGCCTTTGCAAAATTTGGATGTGCCCTGCTGATTAATAACAGTGTGGAAACTTGAAGGCTGAAACTGGACAAAAGATGGTTGTTGGTACTATTATTAGTACTACCTAGTATTATTAGTACTACCTATTAGCATTGGGTTTGGGGTCTGTCTAATTGTAAACACTATTGTTTTTCTGTTGGAAAATTAGAGACCTCTTCCAGGAGACTTTCTACCTTTCATGGTTACTGGTTTAAAATGTGGGTAAAGATATAAACAGAAAAAAATCCACGAGTTTCTCCTATTTCTCATAGTCTGCTATCTTGAGATGTCCAAACTTGAAATAAGCATTTCTGGACTTGATTTTAAAGCTGGGTATTTAATCTTATCTGGAACCATGCTGGTAATTCCAGACTTAAGGAATACATTGATAGGGCCACTGTTGAGAAGCCAACAGATGCCAGCCACATTTAGGGCAAAAGTTACACCTAGCAAAGGGCTGTGTGGTCCCACAAAGGCAGGCATTAGCATTGAGAAGCCCTGTGCTGAAGGCGGTATCTTTCTCATAGCATGGAAAGAAAGATACTCTAAGAGAAACGTATTGCCTGTTTGCTTATTACATAATTGCAGTTGGGTGCATGATGCAAATGGCCACTGACAAGGTCAGTGCACATTGGAACAAAGGAAGAACCAAAGTGATGTTCAGGTCCTGTCAACTTGACAACTGCAGCAGAATCCTTACAGACCCCTTTGGAGACCCTCTGTAAAAAGCTAGGCTGTTTCAAACTCTTTGTCTTTCCCTCCTTTGTTCATTATGTGTCATCTTTGTCCTGATAGCTGGTTAATGTAGTTGGGACCATACAGCTTTTTTCCTACATGACAAATAGCTTTAAAATTAAAATTGTGTTTCTGAGTAGAATAATTTAGCATTGATCACTAACCTGTATTTTGTTCAGTATAATGAATTCTGTTTGTAAATTTTGTAGTCTGTTTTTAGCAGAATAATTAAGGGATGAAGTAATGTATCTTTAAAGTTCTTTATTGCCTGTGTAGTTGAAATATGCTTTATATTTACGTTTTAGCAGAATAATTAAGTGATGAAGTAATGTGTCTTTCAAGTTCTTTATTGTCTATGTAGTTGAAATATGCTTTATATTTGCTTTTTTTGCAGCACTGTGCTGTTGCCGCTGTGCACCCGAAGAGGAAACAAGTTACAGAACTATTGCTCAGGAAAGGAGCAAATGTAAACGAGAAAAACAAAGAGTAGGTTTCTGAAATGTTTGAGTTTTCCAAAGACCTCTGTCATACTAGGAGTGTAAAAAACTAATACATCATTTTTTCCCCCCCTCTAGTTTCATGACACCTTTACATGTTGCAGCTGAAAAAGCCCATAATGATGTCATGGAAGTTCTGCATAAACATGGAGCAAAGGTAAATATACTTGCATGTATTTTATTTAAGACAAAGGGCAAGAAGAAGGGTTATGTTGATTATATACCACGTAAGTTTTCATGATAGCTGCTGCTTTTTATTCTGTATGCCTTTTGCTTCTTGTGTTAATCTTGAAGTGTGTTTTATCTGAAATCTGTACAGGATCCTCAGGAATCCCATTTGAGAAGTACTTCTCTCCAAGTAACTGAATAAAGGTTTTTAGTATTTAAAAATATCATTTTTAATGAACCTTGATATAATTTCTAATAAATAATGTTATCTAGGTGCCTCGCATTGCTTTATCTTGTTGGCTTGAAAATATCCAATGGCTGAGGGTACTGCCACTGAGTTGAGTATCCTAATGCTGAGTATTCCTTAGCCCTTGCTTGCTTCTTATTCTCAGGGTCAGATTGTTTTGCTGTGTCCTTTAACTATTGATAGGTGCCAACCTAATTTGTGAGCTTGTGAACACATTTTTTAGCAAGTTATTAAAAACAGAGAAGGGTATAACAAACTTTGTTTAGAATGTGCTTTAACCATCTTTCAAAAGTGTTTTGGAATGATCTTTCTACAAGTTTAGCAGCAAACTTAATATTCATGGTAATGATATACATTGCTACTTAATTTTCTCAGAAACTCTTATTGATGGATACTTTCTTTGCATTGGCTAAAATTTAAAAGATCTTGGTTTTGCTTTGAATGGGGCTCAGATTACTCTTTTTAACTCTTCCTCTCCATTCAGGGAGCTAGAAATGAAGAACTCATTGTTAAGAACTATTACCTGTTTATTACATGCAATAACATAATACATGATCAAGTGTCACTCTTGCTGTGATAGGAGGTATGAGCAATGTAGTTGTATGCAGTCAAGTGTTTTTATTTTGAAACGATGAATTTTAATTTATAAGCCTGTATGAGAGCTCACTGCCAGATTTTTTATTCACTTCCATAGTACTTTAATGGATCATAAAATAGCTTAACAGCAATACCACGGTGGAGTTGATCGTATTTGAGAGTCCTAATGCACTGGAGACCATTAAGTTTTGCCTAAGGGTGAAAACAAGGCCAAAGTTCTTGATTGTAATCATTAAAACTGTTGGTTATTATTTTCCCAGATTCACTCTTAATAGCATATCTATGCTCTGAAAGTAAAAAAATTCATTTTGCCACAGGAATAGATACCTCATAACTTTTATGGATCTGCTTTTGCACAGGAATTCAGTCCTGATGGTATTTGGATAGGCACTGAACTGAACATGCTGGAGTTACAAATGATACCAAAGTACTGCCTGCTTTGAAATACAAGGATCTTCTGTGTGCTACTACTGTACTCTCATTTAAATTAGTGCTCCCTTGAAAATGTATCTCAGTTGTAGTCAGGTTCCAGGAGTAAGCTCAAAGTTGGCATCCTTACTAGAATGGACCCATTTGGTTTTGTCAGTTGCACATTCTGATGATAGCTTTTAATAAGTAATTCTTTTATCTCCTAAAGCAGGGATTCCTAAATTGTGATCCATGAGTCACTTGTGGACTGATTGGTGCTGAGTGGTGCACAGTTATCTACAGAATGACGCTGAGTGGTGTGTTCTGTCTTTTATTCCATCAACAGTATGCAAATAGAGGTACACAGTGATCATTAAACCTCCTTCTTCATTCATATCCCATATCCTATGTTACTCTGAGGATAGGCCATTCACATTTATGATCTAGCAAAGCACTTAAGTGCTAAGGCAGGAGACTAATCAAAGTTAATATTAAGTGCATATTTCCATAGTGCAGTGGATCAGTGTCCAAAGTTTCTTAGCTGTAAACCAGTAAATAATGCACCCATAATTTTCAATGAGATCATTAAGGCTTTATGAGGCACTTTGAAGTTCCCAGATGGGATATGCTCAAGAGCATTGGTTAGTTAACTAGGCATATTTAATCACTCTAAAATATTTGTATATTGCTTGTATATTATCATTTGACCTCTAGCTCATGCTTTGACTATAGGCATTCAGTTCATCAGGTACTCTTGACACTTTGTTTCTGACTGTTGTGACAGGGCAACTTTTGTTCCTGAGGCATGATAAGGGTTTTGATGTTTTTCTTTTATTGTGTGTTTGGAAGATTTTGCTTCATGTTTTGTCTTTTTGTGTCTTGAATTTTAGGTACTTCATAAGATGTAATCAGATATATTAAGCTCTTTGACCATGCCTGGTTGTATTTTCTACAAGAGAGGGTTCTCATGAGCTGGTGAATCTAGTTTTCCTGTGACAGCAGCATCCCAATGAAGGTCCATTTGTTCTTTGAACTGCACCCTCCTGCTTTTTAAATACCTCTCTTCTTATTTGATGCTTCCTTCAGTGAGGTATTTGCGCTGAGCAAACTGATTCTTCTTAGCCTATGTTTTGGTAGGCTGAAAGCCTCAAACACCTAATCTTCCCTTAAGGGAATGTTGCCTTTTCCTATTCATCCTTATAACCCCTTCTTTTTACTAGCACCAGAGGAAATCTTGGAGTTCAGGCAAAAAGAATAGAATTCATTCCACCACTGCTTTCAATGATGGCACTTATGTACCTCTGTTGTAAGTGCCTGGTTGATGCATACTGGGATCATATTTACCATTTTAATAGACATGAGACAGTAGGACTCAGATCCTTCCTCTAATCTTGCAGTGCACAGAGAATCTTGGTTTTACTAATATTTTATATTTGTGCCCATCAGCACGATTCTCCTGTTCCACAGTCATTAATGCAAATAGTAAAACAAAATTATCCCACAGCCAGCCACCAAGCAGCCTTCCCCTTTTCAAAATATTTAGTTTTTCCATCAAACTCTATTTTTCAATATAAAATAAAATAAAAATTTCCACTGTGATCTCTTACAAAATGCTTTCTGAAGTGTGTATAGATGATATCTACCATGTAGGGTTTTTTCAATTTGCAACCATTTCTTCTGTCAAATGAGAGGTACTGTTACAGCCAGCTTTAATCCCCTTTCTGGAAACCATTACTGATTACTGAGAGAGTAACAATTTGAAAGAGATGTGTAATTCGAAGAAAGTAGAACTTTCTTCTTCTGAAATACTATGACAAAAAGAAGACAGCTGATCCACAAAATAACCAGCAATAATAGCTCTAGGAGACAAAGTCATATAAAGTTCTGTAGATAGAAAATAATTTAGGATTGTATTAGGATTTTGTAGGAAATTCTTCTGTTTTCATGAGGAGCAGCTGTGTCAGCAAGTGAGTTCACGTACAGTGAAGTGTGTGTGTAGCCTTTTTTTTGTTCTGTGGGAAGGGCTAAACAGCAAGTGAGTTCACATACAGTGAAGTGTGTGTGTAGCCTTTTTTTGTTCTATGGAAAGGGCTAAAGCACGATAAAGACTGCTTTAGGGAATTTGGGATGAACAGGGGATGGTCTGTGGTCTTGGAGCTGGATTTAATTATCCATAATGTTATCACTGTGCAAATTTGCTTTTTGAATTATATTGGATGATAATAAACAGTGAAGGACTGCTTGAATAACATGTGCTTGATCAAGACTTATTTTACAGAAGGAACATCTGAGAACATTGATCTCTTCACTCTGGTGACCACTGGCAGAACCTGAGAGAGAACAGCATCAAGTTGTGTCAGGGGAGGTTTAGGTTGGATATCGGAAAAGGTTCTTCACCCACAGGGTGGTTGGGCACTGGAACAGCTCCCCAGGGAAGTGGTCACAGCACTAAGCCTGACAGAATTGAATAAGCATTTGGACAATGCTCTTGGGCATATGGTGTGACTCTTGGGTGTCCTGTGCAGACAGGACCCGTCAATGATCCTGATGGGTCCCTTCCGACTCAGGATAGTCTGTGATTCTGGGATTTGTATTGGCAAGAATTAACCTACTGGCTGGCAATTAATCATAAATTGCTTATTTTGGTGTGTCTTGCTGGCCTTTACTGACAGGACAGACGAGGTTCCTAATTTGACCTGTGCAGAAGTCCTTGTGCAAATTAGTTGTACATCAGCATGTTGTGTCTAATCAACACACATTCCATGGAAGATGTTTTCATTAGCTTGGTACTTGAGTTTGCAGAAGTTGACTGTCAATTTAAAGAACTGGTGAGAAACCTTGGGATTTCTTTTATTTTCCTTGTTTGCCTGCCCTGTTTGTGTGAGACAGCATTTCACACCACTGCTTATTTGATGTGGAATATTCTCAAAGTACCATATGAAAAATAAAAGCAGAGCATCTTCAAAGAACCCTCAAACATAAAAAAATTTTTATTAGACCCAAATCAAATCTTCAAATGCCATGATTTTATCTTTGAAGATAATCAAAATCTTTAATTTAAAAAATAATTTGAAAGTGGTGAACTAGTGAAAAAGTGTTTCATCCTGTTGTTGTATTTCTAGATAGTTGAAAATTTCATACGACTAAGTTTTTGTCCAAATTTATAGACACATGGGCAGTTAATGTGTTCAAAAAGACACTCAGCTTTCTAGCTGTGCGGAAATAAAGGATTAGGGTATTTTCTGAGCTGGAAGGATTGTTGGAAAGAAAGACCTGCAAGCATGTGAGCTCGCTGGTATCTTGGGCACGTGCAGAGATGATGATGAATGCTCTTTAATTATGATATGCCTCTCTTCTGAAAGAGAAAATAAGCCTTTTTAAGGTCATGTCAGAGAGATAGTGTCCCTATTCATGATGGTAGCAGAAATTAATTCATTCCGCTCTGCTGGGAGGATCTTGCTTTATGCATCTTTGCATAATGCAGTTATTTCTGTGCATTGGAGTAGTATGTTGACAGCCTTTCATGATCATGGATTTGCAAATGTTTACCATCTATCTAGACCCACACAACAAACTGAAATGTTTTTGAATAACCTTGTTGTGTAACATTTACTTCCAACATTTCAGGGAGAGGCATGATTTTCTCAGGGAACTGTAAGAATTGAAAAATTAAATTGCCTTTCAGAAATGTAGCGGATTCTAGACTATGATGGTTAACTCCATAAAGACCTGTGTGGTCTGTTGTGATTGACTGGTTCAACTTTTCTCACTGCTTAGATGTCCAAACATCCTGACCTTAATCTTAAGCTTTTATGAAGAAGAGGTAATTGTGGAACATCTGACTGGATCCTATATGACCCGAGAAACTGACTATTCTTTTCTGCTTTTTTCTGCTGATTGAGCTTGAAATTGCCACCAGTGCTGCTTTACTCCTATGTTTATTGTTGGACAACGTCCTGGTTTAGGGCAAATTTTGGAGGAGACCTCTGTGCTTCTTCTCTTCCTCCCTTTGCTGTCAGAACCAATCTTAAAGGTGCTAAACTTATTTCTGGACTAAACAAATGGATGGGCATACAAGCATCATTAAGTCACCTCAGGACAGACAACAAGACACACTGCAAGCTTGTCTTCGGAATTAATGCTGGAGGGGAGCAGTTAGAGCACTTGCATTGCAGGGAAGGATACTGTGATATGGAACTGCTGGCAGAGCACAAGTTTCATGTATGATTTTTAGAATGTACATATTTTCGAAAGATTTCACAGAGAAAATCGCAGTGCTTGGAATCTGTTGCTTTTTGTGCTGCTGTTTGTAGTGTCAAGGAGCAGGAGGGATATTTAGGGCATTTGATCTTGGTAGAAAGCCAATATGACCAGGAAGTATTGCAAAAAATGTTTCCTGAACAGACCTGAGCTGTTGAGCTGCCACAAGTGCCTGGCAGCCAAGGGAATATTGCTGTAACTGAGTACACTGCTCCAAGAGAGCAGCAGTGAGGGAAGGGCACATCTCAGAGGTGTCTGATGAGATGTGGCCATTTCCATTTCTCTGCCTTGTTTGTTCAGGATGGAGAAGAGGAAATTAAGGGAGAGAGAGGAAAGAACAGAAGGAAGTCTGCATTGGGTAATGCTGAATAGGACAGTATCTTTCTCTGAAATCACTTATTTAAAAACTCTTTTCAATTGATAACTGTATTCTGCTTTTACATTGCATTTTGAGCAATGGAATGACTGCTTCCATGCAAAAAGGTGAAGACATTGGATCCAGAGCCAGTGTGCTGTGGAATAAAACTGTCAAACCTGTCACTTTTAACTCCTTGCAGGAAACTTGTCTGTAAGATAATTCAGAGCTACAGCCTTCTCATTTCAGACTGCCTATAAAAGGGACCAAATTGATATTTATCTTTTTTAATAAGTGCAGCTGGAACAATCTGGCTACTCAGGGCACAGTTAAAGCAGTACATCTTGCATATTTCACATTTTATCAAGCAGAGTTTTAAACTTTGAATTTGAAAGGGCACATGGTTTTGGACCTGGTATTGAACATTGTTTAACCCAGGCATATGTCTGATTTTTATAAGACTTTAATCTCAGTTTTGTATTTCAATTTGTTGCTTAAGTTATTTCAACTTGTGCTTAAGTTGATTTTCATTTGGTAGCAAGTCTTCTTGCATTAAGCCTTATTGGAGTATATTCTTTGCTTGGTTTTAGAGAAGTGGTGCATTATTAGTGAGAAAAGATGTGCCTCAAAGTGAGCATATTCCCAATGAAATTGTCTTGCAAAGGCTAACTCTGCTCTTGAGGTAAAGAGCAGCTGCATTTGGTGCTGCATCTCTCTGTCAACTGCAGCCCTTTTTGTCTCAGAAGGAAGCAGGTATTTCTTCAAATGGCTGACGTTCTTCTGCCAGAAGAATTGATTGTTAGGAAAGATAATGGTTTAGAGGTGAAAGGAGACCTGGATAAGACATATGAGATGATGGCTCTGATGACTCTGACAGTGTTCTTTTCAAATGAATATTAACATTTTTTCCAGGGACATAGTATCAAATTGTGTTCGCTGAATGCCTTGCTGCTATTGCTTTTACAGTTTGTTCAGTACAGGCCTGTTTAACACAGGAAGTCAGTATTAAAGAATACATTACTTACGATTTTCTTTTTTTGATGAATGGAGTGTTATCAGCTACTTTGAGAATCCACAAATTTCATTTCATTCTGCTTTTACCATCACTAAATGTGTGTAGCCCCAGAGTTCTGTTTACTTCTGTGCTCTTATCAGTGGTAAAAGGTATCTGGTGTCCTGGAACAGATGAGGATCATCATCTGAACAAAATGATGGATTTGGGATATTCAGCCTCTAGTTAGTATTTATAATAGCAGTAAGTTTTTTATTTGAAACAAAACTTTTAGGGTAATCCCATTAGAGTGAAATGAGCTGAGTGCAGTGAGAAGAAAGCAGACCTACTCTCCTGTCCATCTTGCTGCAAGAGAGGTTTGTGATCTGAGAAATTCCTACCCTGTCAGTCTGTAAAATAACTTCAGACAATATTGAATTACACTCTTCTTCGTTTATTTTGTTGTTCTTTGTTCTTTTTTTGTGACTTGATATTGCACTATTGCAAGTATTTTACTTTTTTGTCCTATCTGGTAGTAGATCTTTACAGAGTTAATTTAATTTAGTTTTAGTTAAATTTCGTTTAGTATAAAATAAGTTGCTTAACTAAAATGCTTTTTCACTGGTTTCATGAAGGATTTGCATGCTGCATTTTAGGTGAGAAATAACAAACAAAACCTTTGTTTGCTGTCACCACAAAGATTTTGAGATGGTAAAAAGGTGGATTTATACAGTAACAAAGTTTATTATGCATGCAGTTCACAGCCTGCAATCTGTAGGCTTGGAAACAGATAACAGGTTCTGAGTTGCTTGCAGAGACTATAGAGTAGTTCTGCATTTCATAAAGTGGTAAAAAAGCTGCTGGGCATTTGCATTTAAATTTGTCATGAATCGCTGCTAGGTACAGAATATCGTCTTGAAAGGTTATTTTCATGGGAGTGTTTTTCCGCTTTTTAAAGCTCTCTATTATTCTCTTCCTTTTTTTGATAGTGCACTGGGAGAGATGCTTCTAGTTATTTAGCTGCTCTGTTAGATCTTGACAGACGGATGTGTTTCCATTATATCATACTCTTTGAAAATTATACTCCATTTTGCCTGTTTATACAGCCTTGTATTGAGGAGAATTATATCCAGAATTATACTTAACATTCATGGAAAGGCGCAAAAAGTGATGAAGAAATGTTTGTATCCAACATTCCCCCCCTTAGAATTCTTCTTTTGACATCTTTCTTTTGCATTAATTCTTGGTACTGGGTAATGTTGAGTTATTCTTCTGACAATGACAGATGGTAATTTCCTTAAAGCTGTAAGATCTTTGAATTGTTTGGTAACAATTTATGTCAAGTTACCTCTTTCTCCTGCTGTGATAGTGTTTCTTTTCTTGCACAAGGTTGGTCTTCCTCAAATTTCTCTAAAGCTTGATCACTATTTAAAGTATGGTTCTGGGGATCCTGTATTGTTTGTTAGCCATGCAAACAAATAACCTGTGTTGTTAAAAGACAGGAAAACAACTGTGGTTAATTAGTTTTCCTTTGGAGTGTTTGCCTGTTTTGTCATTTGGTTTTGTTTTATTGCAGTGCAGAAGAATTGATAGGTAAATTGGTATGCTGGAATATTCTTCACTTGTGTTAAGGACAGGGACAGGTGCAGCCTTTTAATTACAAGAGTGTTTTATTTTATATTGCTGCTGCTTTTTCAGATGAATGCACTGGACACACTTGGTCAAACAGCGTTGCACAGGGCTGCGTTAGCAGGGCACCTGCAAACCTGCCGGTTGTTGCTGAGTTACGGCTCTGATCCCTCCATCATCTCTTTGCAAGGCTTCACAGCAGCACAGATGGGAAATGAAGCAGTGCAACAGATCTTAAGTGGTGGGTAAAAGTAAAGGCTTGTGTATTTGAACTTCAGCTTCTCCCTTTACAGCTTTGAATCTTGTTTCTTTCTCAGTGCAAGAGACTTGAAGACTAGTTTTCTCATCTCTCCTTTCTGCCATCAAATGCACACAACTGCAGTATGTATTGTGTGACACTTGTCAGAAAATAAATAAACAGCTCTGCTCAGTTCAGTGATTTTGTGCAAATAGGGAAGAAAGTAACCATCTTGTAGATCTAGGATATGCTGCTGTACAAGGAGATTGTTAGAAGGCACACATAGGGAGTTTTGGGATTCTTTTGGTTGCAAGTTCCAAGGCAACTGGAATATTGCTGAGCATATAAGAAACCTTTTTCCCTGCATCAGCCAACTTGTTAGGTACTCCCTACTTCAGCAGTCACAAGCAGAGTGTTACTGGCAGAAAAACACAGATGGTAGCTAAACTGTTTGAACTTTTACTTCAAATCTCTTGCTTGTCCAGTAGAGAAATATTTTATTGTGAAAGTGCTCTGGATAGTGCTTAGGTAATAATTTGCTTATATCTTCCATTAAAAAGATGAATAGATGTTTGAAGTGGATGCCACTATTTTTCATGGAAGTCCTTAAGGGTTTGCATCCTCTTACCCACATTACGTTTGAATTTTGCAAGTACAGAGAAGAATAATTGCATCAATAGCTAGTAAAGAGCAAGTAACTCACCTTACAGTGAGATGGGCATGTAGTCAAACAAAGGCAGATATCCAGATAGATGAGAAGACACGTAGCTACAAACGCCATTTCCTCTAGTGTTTTCAACAATTAAAATAGGACAAAAGAAGGAAAAAGCATTTTACAGCAATGCAAGGAAGGACTGTTTTGAAGTGTACCCACTCCTGAGATGTAGCTGGTTACCTGGGTAGTGTTACCTGTTAAAATGTGCACATGAATGTATGTATGTGGATTGAGAGAGAAGAATGTTGGCAGAATCATGTCAGCTTTAGAGTCAAAATCTGACTGATTTGCTCTAAAACTAAAGCTCCTTATTTAGACATGTTGGCAATATCAATTTGAACATCACAACCCCAGCTGCATTTTCAAAAGTAACAACAGACCAACTTCACCCCCCAACTTCAGAAAATATGTTGAACACCAATTAATACAATTTATGTATCCTGAGTAATCCTAAGCCATCTTTTTTCCTGTGTAGAAAGTACACCTGTGCGCACATCCGATGTGGATTATCGGTTGTTAGAAGCATCCAAAGCTGGAGACTTGGAAACTGTGAAGGTAGGTTTGAACAGTTTGTGTGAATTTTCTACTTTGCATTGCTGTGCAAGTCTTGTGTAAGCAGTGGCCAATGGATGATAAATCATAAAAAATAGGAAGTCATGGATCTTTCCTTTTTTTTTTTTTTTTCTCAGTACATTAAGATGTACTGAGGTGGGTTTCGCTTGGGTTTCTGCTTGTTTATTCTGCCAGCCCTTCACACAGTCCTGTCTTTGGACTCAGATGTAGCCATAATTCTTTGAAACAAACTCTGTGATTCTTAAAATCACAGTTTAGTAGAAACAAGCCCTCAGGTGCATGATTCAATTGGATGGCAAGCACATACTATTAACAGGTAGCAGACTTTGTATTTTAAACCATCCTTAATCTGAAGGTGAAGGGTCAGGCCATGGAATCCCACCATCACACGAAGGTTTGATCTTGTTTTTTATATTTGGTCTGTGGACAAAACAGAGCAGATGGAAGAGCCTGCAGACAAGAAAGCCTGCAGATGGGCTGTTGTGCATACTTTCCCACCTTGAACTTCAACATGATATCCATTAATATTCAAACAGCAGCAGTTTTGTGCACCAGCAGCTCCTTTGACTCCCAAGCTAAGTATTTCTGGTTTTCTGAAGGCAGTATAGGCCAGAAATAGTAATACATCTGGAGAAAGTTACATGGCCTTGAACCTAGTACTTGATGACGTAGAAGTTCCTCCTTTCTTATATATTAGGAACATCTTCACACTGCTTTCATCATTTAAGTCTTATTTGTTATAGAAGTGCATCAGCTGTAAATTTAGAGCTGCTATTTTTTTAACTTTGCATAAATGGAAAGAAATTTCCTGATACTTGAAAAAATTTTTAGAAGTGGATCAGATTTTGTGTTGAGGTCTTTGAAGGTGGTAGTTTAGTTTTGTTTTTTTGAATTTGTTTGTTTCATGTTTTGTTGTTGCTTTTTGGTTGTGGGAGTTGTTAGTTTTAGTTCTGTACTAGATTTTGTGTTCTTTTGTCTTCACAGCAACTTTGCAGCCCTCAGAATGTGAATTGCAGAGATCTGGAAGGCCGTCATTCAACACCACTGCACTTTGCTGCAGGATATAACCGTGTATCAGTGGTGGAGTATCTCTTGCACCATGGAGCAGATGTGCATGCCAAAGATAAAGGGTACATTTCATTCCTTGATATGTTCTGCTGGTCTCTATTGGTGTGAGACTTATATCCCACCTATTCATTTTACTTCAGATTTCAGTGACCATGGTGTTTTTCTCTTGAAATTTTTTCTCTTTTCTCCTTGTTCTGCATTGTTCCTGTGCTGTAGTGAGGTTTATAGACATTACAGCATACTTTGCTTTCTGGAAAAGCCAATATCCAGTACATACCTGGCACTGTAATACATGATGCTTCTCTTCCCCTTTTTGCCCATTTTGGAGACTTTGTTTTGCATAAAAGCAGCCTTTAATTTGTTTTAGGTGGTCTAAAATTAGTTTTGAAAAAAAAAGGTGTAAAATACCAGGGTTATCTCTGGGCATTTTTCTAATTATGTTAGCTTTTATTATTAAGTTAATTATTTTTACAGTTACTATTTAGTTAAATTATATTAAGCATTTACATTTTTTGCCCATTAATTGTGAAGCATCTTGGTTATGTTAAATCTTTTACTCCGTATACTAGTTCAGAGCAGGGGGATAATAAATTTCCAATAATGGATTTTCAGGCTTACCCTGGAAGAAGTGTTGGGTATCTTTCTGTATCTATCAGGTGTGCAATACTTACTAATACTTACTGCACTTCAAATATATTATATGGTGTTATGTCTTTCTTGAAATTTAACTCGAATATCCAAACTCAGAACAGCTGTGAGTCTTGCAATTTGATTTTTGTCTGTTATTAACAGCATTGAAGTTGCTTGTGGAAGCTGTAACATTGGGGCTTGCTAAGTATTTAAAAGTCTTGTGGATGAGAGCTGAAGGAGGATAATTAAGTTTTAATTGATTTTTAGTAGAGAAATAAAACCATGAAAACTGGAAAACTGAAAGATAACAATGTCTGGTGAAAGTGGGAATTTTATCTACTGATTGCATATAGGATTTTATTCTCTAGCTGTTAATGCTTTCTCTTTGATTAGTGGCTTAGTACCCCTGCACAATGCCTGTTCGTATGGACACTACGAAGTGGCTGAACTCCTAGTGAGGCACGGTGCTTCTGTCAACGTGGCAGACCTGTGGAAATTCACTCCTCTACATGAAGCAGCAGCAAAAGGAAAATATGAAATCTGCAAACTGCTTTTAAAAGTATGTGCTGGAGATCTCAGCTGTATGTTTAAATGTGTATATACTTATTTTTTCTGAAGATTAATTAATGCAAAGTTAACTGCATTCAGTGAATTCTTTGTGGTATCTTTGAATCAGTTTTCATCTTGCAATTGTCATATGGTTTCCTGTGTAATATCATTGACTTAAAAAGAATCATCAGTACAAGTACTGTTTCCAGCACGTGTATTAATACTGTTAGCCAAGTAGGACAAGACTCTAAAACTGGAAAAAACAGCTGAGTTCATGTAAAAATGGCAACTCCTTGACAGCAACCTTCTCCTATCCATCCCTTTCTGAAATAGTTACTGCATTTAAGTAAATTCTGTTAATACTTATGCAAGAATGTGTTACAGAGCAATAGCAGAAGGTGGGTCGTAAATGCTGTTTGGTATGAGAGGAAATCAAAACTGTTATGTTAATGTATAATTTATCAAGCTCCTGGAGGAAATGCATGTTAATATACTGTGGCATAAATATTCATTTTACTTAGAGGAAGAACCTGTAAAAAGCATGAGGTAATGCAAAGATATTTCCAGTGAGAAACATGACTTTGAGAAACTTCTTGACATAAAGTCAGATCCTGCCCTGAGAGGATGAAAGGGGGTGCTAGAGTAGAATTTCTTGCCAATCCCATTTCCTCTTTCCACTGTGCCTACTTATGTCCCTCTGAAGCACATTTAAAATAGGAGAAAGTCAGAATATGGATAGTCTTAAAATAACGAGGAACTACCCCAGCCACTTTTCATTTGCTGCTGCAAATCCCCACTATTTCCCTTCTATATCATTAATTATTTCACTTGATTACCAAAACAGAGAGAGAAGAATGATAGTTTGAAGCACATCTACAGCAGAAACCAAGAGATATTAAGAGATGTGTATGGAGTAGGCATGGTGGTGGCCTGGAAGTAACACTCTAAAATAGAGATGTTAGCTCAAGCTCTAGCGTTTAATCTCTCAAGCACAGTGTTGCATTATAGACACTGGAGATCTCAGGCCTTTTCTGGTCATTCCACAGGGAATTTACCCTTATTTTCTCTTCAGAGGATCCTGAATGGGTGTACAACAGGAAATAGAAAAGTGCTGAAATTTAGTTTTTTAAAATCACTCTTTCACAAGATAAGAGCTAAATATGCCCTTAAGGTGACACAGATGTAAAGTCTCTGGGTGTCTGTGGATATCTGCTCACACTGCAGTTTACTCAGGGTTTCTCCTGCTGTGTCTCCTATGCCAGCTGGCAGTGTTGTCAGTTCTGCTGAGTTGTGGATGTTGAGCTTGACCCCTCCTGACTTGTGCTCCTTCTCTCCTGATCTGCTTGAAGAAGGAAACAAAAATAAACAGGCCTTTTGGAGACAGTGTTTTTTTAAATCACCTTTCTTTGAAATGACCACCTTTGTTTGTCTCTATGCCTTGGAACGGGTCTCAGAAGACACTGCCTCTTCATTCAGATACTTATTTTGGGGCGTAGTTCCAGTTTTGATGAATTTTAAATTAAGGGATTTCAGGTCATATCTTAGAGAAGTCATTGCAGTCTAAAAGGCTTTTCACAAAGAATGCTCTCTTCCTAAAAGAACCACAGATGTGGAAAACTGGTTTTGTGTAATTAATGCTCTGTCCCTTCTGTCCCTTGCTCTTCATCCTTTGCACCATGAGCACAGTTGTACTGCTTCCAAATACAAAGCAGTTAATTCCCTCTGTTCTCCCATTGCTGTTTTCCCTTTCCCAGTCCAGTGGGAAATGGCAGGGTAGACTTGCTGGCGGGGATTGGACCACTGTGTTTGACTGTTCTGAAGAGGTCAGCCAGAGAACTCCAGCACCAGCAGCTGCCTCTGCTTTATCTGTCTTTGTTTTTTCCCACTGCTGCTGAGAGTGAATAGGGAAGGAGCTGTCCTCCCACAAAGCTGAATGTGGACGTGACTCACACCATATGCTCTACACAGTTGTGTTCCCCTTCTCATCCCCCGTTGCTCCAGTACTGTGTTCTTATCAGTGCCTGATCTACATGTTCTACCAGCACAGATACACTCCAGCAGTCATCCAACTCCGCTTGTCCATCAGATTTTATTTTCACTTCTTCCAAAGACCTGTAAACTGCTTAAGATGGTGCTGTTGTCTATTGGAAAGTGTAGAGAAGAGTATTTTGCTAGTTCCTTTCTGAAACAAGTGCTTTTTGATATTGGGATAAATTTACATTTAGTAAAACTCAGAGCCTGGTTTTGCTAGTTCAGAAGGTTGTGCTCAGGAAATACCTCTGCCACCCATTTGATTTATGCCAGTTTTCAGGAGAAGGGGAGGACTGGCAGCAAGATACTTGCAGTTGGCTTTCCTTTCATGCTGCTGTGACAGTAAGAAATAGCTATCTGCAGGAAATGCTCCTGAACATACTTCAGTTGCAAGTAGAGCAGGGACAGCTCTTGCTGCCAGAGGGCTGCCATTCTTGCCTGTGGAATTGAGACTCACACAACTGTGTTTCAGACTAGTGCTTTTAGGCCTCAAACTTGTGAATTTATTTTCTTGTGCCTACTAATCTATACAATTATTACTTCATTATGATAGGTCTGGAAAATCCTATTTTATTTTGCAAAATAGTGACACATGTGCACTGCTCTGTGCATGATTGTGACACTAGCATTCCATTTGCTCTTTGCAGCATGGAGCCGATCCAACAAAAAAGAATCGAGATGGGAACACTCCTTTGGATTTGGTGAAAGAAGGGGACACAGATATCCAGGACTTACTGCGAGGAGATGCTGCCTTGCTGGATGCTGCCAAGAAGGGGTGCCTGGCACGAGTGCAGAAGCTGTGTACTCAAGAAAATATCAATTGCAGAGACACCCAGGGAAGAAATTCAACACCACTGCATCTTGCAGGTGGGTAACGTGCCAGATTTTCAAGGCTTGTATATTTATAGTAGGTCTACAGATGTAGTTTGCCACAACCAGGACTGGTATAGGAAGAGTTTCACAGAGAATTGTCCTGTACAAAGAGTTAACTAGGGCATCTATTTCAGGAGGTAATACAATTACTAGATAAGAGGAACTTTTGCAGTTGAAAAATTGCCTTAGCTTTTCTGTTGAATACTTTTCTTTAGTTTAGCTCTCCTAATTCCTAATTTATTTTCCTGTGCTTTTTCTACAGCTGGTTACAACAATTTGGAAGTAGCTGAATACCTTCTTGAGCATGGTGCAGATGTTAATGCCCAGGACAAAGGAGGATTAATTCCCCTACACAATGCAGCATCCTATGGGGTAGGTGCAGGCAGTCTTGCCATGAGTAGAACAGCAAGGGACTCCTTGAAGTCATATCCAAAGCCAGTTATTTTGCAGCTGTTTTGCTGTGAACACAGTTCAGGCTTTGATGAAGTGTTTGTCGGGCTGAGTTGCTGTTGTGAGTCTTATTTGCAGCCCTACACATTAAATAGGACACAGATTCAGGTGTGCTGTAGCACTTAGATGCTGCAGTTTGGAAACAACACTGCAATGTAGCTTTTATGCAGGCAAGCAGATGCACAGGGTTGAACAGTTTGGGGTGATATTTGAAACAAAAAAGACCTCAAGTTGTCTCTGAAAGACTTAGATGGCAGGAAGAGAAAAACACCAGGGGATCGTGTGCAGATGATGACAGGGAAGTGGAGGTGTGTTACAGCTGGTGTTTGGTAGGAATCTATTGCTAGAGTTGAAGGATTACTGTGTTTGTAATGTGGTTGTCCTCCAGGGCAAGCCATCTGCTGCAGGGGATGCAGTGACAGACTCAAACCATTTTAGATGAGGCAGGCCCTCTTTCCTCCATATAGGAGTAAGCATCTGTTCTCAGTTGCACAGATGCCTAATAGATTGCTTATAAGCAGTTGTTAGTTGTGGATTGGGTGAGAAAGAAGTCTCTTGTAAATAATTGTACAGAGATAGTCCTTGAGAAGCTTCTAGCACTGTGCTTCAGTCAGCGAGAGGATCTGAAGCTCAGGGAGTACTGGGTTTGATGGTCTCATGACATGCTTTGCCTGTTACTTACCTGGCCCTGGCACAGGTACAGCAAAATCTGGGACAGGTGACCCTATTGAACCATGGTTGCTTTTCTTTGAGAGTAAATGAAATAAAAAGTGCAGTGTTCACCTTGTTCTTAAAAAGGGCATCAATGGAACTCAGTCTATGCTATTTGTATTGGTTCTTTACATCACTCTGGGATCCCAGTGTTCCAATGAGCAAAAGGCCCCAAATCCTGGTGAAAGATTAGAAAGCAGCACAGAATTCTTTTATGTTACAGTATCTTAATACCACATAATATTGTTTATCAGCATCTGCCTTTAAGCATTAATTCCCAAGATATTGCTAAGATCTAGAGATAAATTCTGTTGGAAAGACTGTTCTTTTCTTTGGCGTGAGAAAACAAAACACATTTTACATAAACTCAAAACATTTCTTATTGGCATTGAGAAATGTCAGAGATTGGTTTTAATGAATTATAATTTCTAAAAATTATAATGCTAATCTAACCTGATTGCCCTGCTTCCTGCAGGAAATATTAAAAAGGCAGTGTTTGATGCTTTTCCATCAGCTTATTTAGTTAAGAGCCGCTTCATACCTTTCCTGGCATCCCACACTTCTCTAAGCTGTCATCAGCCTGTTCAGATCTCTGTGATGGGAGGTAGAGAGGAGAGGAGTACTGGTTTCACAAGTTCATAGCTGGCAAGATTCACAGGCTCTGCCTTTTCCTCACAAAGTTTCTTCAGTTCTCCCACCCAGTACTTCATACTGTGTGTCCCTCAATAGTGCTTTCTGTGACAGAAAAATCACAGGAACAGCAATTGCTTTAAAAGTTTGGCAGAGAGGAAAAATAAAGTTGGCAGTATTTTCAAAACCACACTTGCTCAGAGACCAAGCTGTTTTATGAGAGCTGCAAAGAGTCAGTTGCCATTGAGAGGAAAAAGGAAATCCATTGGCAATTCTTTGTGCCTCTGCTTACAATTTCAGTGTTTCGTGCTCCTACCCATTCATTTTGACTACCTGCTTTTTTTCCTTTGCTGTCTTGCACAAGAAAGAGCTACTGGTTAGAGGCAGGCAAAAATTTCATTTGTCAGTTTTATCTTATTTTTACCTGGGAGACTTCAAGGACAGTATATTGATGGAAGCATGGGGTTATAAGTTCATTGCTTTTATAACCCATGTAAAACAGCTGTTCCTTGTGACAGTCATAATGCATTTCATCAATTACAGCTCTCATAAAGTATGAGTGAAGATAGAACAGATCTGTGATGCCACAGATGAGTTCAAAGTCCTGCAAGAAAGAAAGTGCAACAAAGGCTTCTGTGTACACACAGGTGTGGCTCAGTAGCACAACACATTGATCTTCAGAGCTTCTAGTATTGTGTTACAAAAGTTGCAGCCCAGTAAATTCACCAGTTCAGATTTGTCCACAAATGTGTTTTTTTTTTTTTAATGTGGGGTTAAGTATCATGTCTGCTCCTGCAGCTGCCACAAACTTCATGCTGCAGGAGCAGACATGTACTTCATGTACTTTGGGTGATTTGACAGAAATCTGCTTCTGTGCCGAATCCCAGTTCTTCTGTGCTGGTGAATGATCTGGTAGTGCACAGACACAGATGACTGTGGAGCTGCAGTATGAATTGGTATCTGGAGAAGTGTGCTGCTCCTGTGACACAGGGAACAGAATGAGTTACAGGAAAGAGAAACCACAAGAGTCTCTGGGCACCATTGCCTCCAGCATAAAAAAGGAATGTATGTTTTACTGGTGTCATGTTGATTAAGATGTTCTTGTGTTTTCCAGCATGTGGACATAGCAGCACTGTTGATCAAATATAATACATGTGTAAATGCAACAGATAAGTGGGCGTTCACACCTTTGCATGAAGCTGCACAAAAAGGAAGGACACAGCTCTGTGCTCTGCTGTTAGCTCATGGAGCAGATCCTACCATGAAGAACCAAGAGGGTCAGACACCACTAGACCTGGCAACAGTAAGTTCATGTTAGCCAGCCACAGGCTGCTCTGGAGGATGCACTCTGCATATTAAATTCATTCCTATGGCTCCATGGTATCAGCAGTCCTCAGCTTCCATTGTGCTGAGGTGGAGAGAAGGGCATCTCCTGAGTGCCTCTTTGTGGCTTTTTGTCCATGGGATCAGGCATTTTCTTCAGCTGAAATCTTAGCATGGCTTGTGATTTAAGGTTTGCTTCTCTTTAATATTCACTCTGGGACCAATCTCCTCATTCCCAGAAATAAAACTCTCTGAAATGTCTCTGATGGTCAGTCTGTGTGCTGTTGGTGATTATTTCTTTGAACCTAGGAGGAACACCAGATAGACCTTTAGAGGAATAGGAACAAGTGGTGGATTATTATGCTCAGTGCCTCCATATTACCTCAGTTCCTTTTTTTTTAATTAACTCCAAAAGAACATTCCAAAGAATTCATTCTAGCTCCAAAATTTGTAGGTGGCTATCAAACTTATTCTAAAACTGGCTTCTGTAAATTTTCTTGTAAATGGTTTAAAAGTCTAATAAGGTTATATGAACATGTATGCCCCAGCTTAAACAATCTTGATGGAATAGATAATGCAACCAAATTGGATGCTGGGTCTGGTCTCAGTTCAAGTATCTTTTAGGATTATTGATTTATTTATGGAGAGTTCAAGAAATATCCTCCAGAATAATCTGAGGCCTAGAAAACCTGCTTTGTGATGAAGGATATGAAAATTATTTTATTTCCCTGGGGAAAATAAGGATGTCTTAGTCATGTTCTACAAGAATTTTTAAGGAGGAAATTCTTGAAAATGAGGGTGTTGCTTAAGTCAATAAAGGCTAAATCCAGCTGTTAGCTAAGATCATACTTCTTCTGAGCTCCTGCCCTTTTTTTTCTATTCTAACCCAAGAGATGTGAGTATAGCAAAGGCAGTGGTAGTGTTTCCACTGAAACCTTGTTCCAGTGCACCTGAAGTTGAGCCTGACAGAAATTAAGAAGTGGCATTTCCTGTCCTAGGTTCTGAAGGATTTCAAATAAAGTTGCCGCATTGTTCTTTCTGGCTTTAGCATTTATAAAGCCATTCTGACAGAAAAAAATTAATTGTAGCTTCTTATACACCTTTAGAAGTGGGGAGAACCTGATTCACCTATGTCTTGAGTGGTGAATCAAAATGTTCTTGCAACCGTGAATTCGCCTGTAACAGAAGCTGGCAGTTTTCCTTCCAACGGGGACCAGAACAATCAACTAAAACAATTAAAAATTATTTCCAGAGATCAGTGACTCGTGACAGCAGGAGCTCACGCTGGGTGTTCTGTCTGTGTTTCAGGCTGACGATATCCGAGCTTTGCTGATAGACGCGATGCCTCCAGAAGCTCTGCCTACGTGCTTCAAGCCTCAAGCCACTGTTGTTAGTGCCTCTGTGATCTCGCCAGCATCTACACCGTCCTGCCTCTCTGCTGCCAGCAGCATAGATAACCTCACGGGGCCACTGGCAGAACTGGCCGTAGGAGGGGCATCAAATGCTGGGGATGGAGCTGCAGGAACTGACAGGAAGGAAGGAGAAGGTGCATTTGCTGCTGGACAAGTTTACATTGCCAGAAGTACAGTAGTTTAGTATCAAAATAGGTCTTGGTTTATCTGAAAAGCATTTCTGACTAGCCAGAAAATACTGCTGCAGTTTGAACTGTTACCTGTGTCTGATGCTTGTTAACTGCTCACTGTCAACTGTTCATATGTGTTTGCTGTCAGTCATTAGGTCTGACTACAAATGCGGATCTGATTAGGTGCCCACATGTTCATTGGTTTTATAAAAAATAATCCAATGAGAATTATTTTGATGAAGGATATGATTATGACGGCTGGGGATTTTGCCAAGGCTTTGTAAACCCTTTGATTAGTATCTGGAGTCCATGCTTTAGGTCAGAATCTAAGGGGGTCACATAGCAAAAATATACCCACCCTTCTTTACAGTATGAGCCTGTATTTGTCACAGATGGTTTGTGCTTTTAATAGTTGATTCTGAAGAGGGAACAGTGATGAGCTTTGCACAGAGCTTTGACACAATGGAAGTAGATTTTTATTACAGACATAGACAAATTGATTGTAAAAAGAGTCAGAGTTTGAAATTTTAAGAAAATTAGTGGTATTTCTTGATTTTTTTTCTTTTTAAGGTGGTTGGTTTGGTTTTCGTTACTTCAGATATATAGTATCCTATATATCCTTTCAGATATATAGGATATAAAGACTTGCTTCTTCTCTTACAGTTTCTGGTCTTGATATGAACATTACCCAGTTCCTAAAAAGCCTGGGTCTTGAACACCTTCGGGACATCTTTGAGACAGAGCAGGTAAGTGGCAAACCTCATCTCTATTTCTAACTAACTTAATAAATTCAAATGACATTTTCATTTTCTAATTGAAAAAGGAAAGGAAAAAACCCACACTTCACATCTACATAAAAACAAGTGTGTTCAGGTTTTCTTTCCGTTTTCTGCAAATGAGTTGCCAGATACAATATGTTGAAGTTGCAAAACCTATGAAAATATCTTTTCTTGTTGGATTCAGGTGTCAAGTAGCTTTCACTGACACATACACTGTGGCTGCCAATTTGGCTTGTACTCTGAGAGTTATTTTGAACCTTGTGAACTTTGAACACGATGACTGTAACAAAGTTAAGTTCAAATGTCACTTGTGTTTGTCCTTCAGCAGTCTTGACAGCCAAACAAGCCTTTCACCACCTGTAGTGCTACATGTGATACTTTGGTTAGATCTAGGAAACCCTCCACTTTGAATATATGCTGAAATAAAAACCTAGCATGGGAGTAGTCACACTACAGAATGCAGAAGCTACAGTTCCTATTAGGTTAGGACCACTGCATTAACTGAGTTTTGCCAGGCTAACTTTGAAATGTCATTGAGAAATAGGGGAACAAAACCTGCAGATTTATCAGTAATTCAGCATATATGAAAAGAGTACAACTAATATAAGTTTCTCAAGCTTATATTATGTTTTACAGCAGAAGTATCTGTAATGTATTTGTAGATTCCTTTTATGTACTGTTCGTTAAATTTAACATGTTGCAGTTAAATAGATCTGTTTACGTGACTGAGATGGATGTACATGTGGAAGTGAAAGGTAGAAGTGCAAGAGACTGGATTTCATGATTATTTTTACTTTGGCCTCTGCTGCTAATCTTTTATTGAGGAATCAGGAAACAAAGATTTGAAATGTAATGTGTTGTTTACAGTTCCAGCTGTTTCTATGAAATATTCAAAGATAAAATACCATAGAACTTTTTTCTTTCTGTTATATGAAGCATAAGCTCTTCTCTTTAGTTTGGAACTCCTGTTCAAAAGGAAACCAACCTCAAACCAACCTATATGCTTCTCATGTTTTCTTATTATTTTTCACACCTTCCTGTTTCCTAGCTGGTCTTGTTCTACTTTTGCTTCCTTAGCACCTAACCTGTTAAGATCTTCCCCTGCTAATAAGATTTAACAATGCAAATCCGATTCAATATATTCATCATTTTGAAATCATCTAGCTCTTGTAAGTTTCTTTGTAGAAAAAACAAGCTCATCTTTTTTAAGCTTATTATTTTAAGCTGGTTTTCCAAGCACTACCTTCATGTACACTTTTTCACCTTGGCTCGTTATCAGTAAGGTTGTAGAATATTAATTTCTGCTTGCATAATGAAAGTAATGAATTGTACAATGCTGTGAAACATTGAATGCTTCAAAAGAACTCCCATATTTGTGCCAGCATTTCATTTTATCTCCCTTCTACCTAAGTAAAAATGTTTGTGAGAGCCTTCTTCGAGAACCAGCTCTTGTTAATTGGTGTGAGAGAAGTGAAAGTTTTGCACAGCTTCAGGCTGTAGCAGCTGGGTATGGTCTTGTGTATGTGATAGGGACAGGTTTGCCAGAAGGTGGCAGCAAGTAGAAGTGAAGCAAAACATTATCTACCTTTATGCTTTTGGTTGCACCATGGATACTCTCCAATTTCTGAAGTGATAGGTCTCCAGCCTTGAAAGTCAGGCCAGGTTTGACAGGTGATTTTTGTGATCTTTCACCTTTCCAGATAACCCTGGATGTGTTGGCCGACATGGGGCATGAGGAACTGAAAGAAATTGGGATCAATGCATATGGACATCGCCACAAATTAATAAAGGGTGTGGAGAGACTTCTAGGAGGTCAGCAAGGTAAATATGACACTTCTGCTGGCTAGTCTAAGTGTAGCACACAACAGGCTCCCATAAATCACTTTGTCTAAATGTAGGTATTGTCACCAGACTTGAAAGAATCTGAATGTCAGGAAAGTGTATTTGCTGCAGACATGGTGCTGAGTGCGTTGTGGTAGCTAAAGAATATATTAAGGAGATACTAGATCAAGTGATCACTTGCCTTTTCAGAGAATGGATACCCCTGAGGCAGCTTTGGAAACTGTTCACATTTCTCAGGATCCGGTTTCACCCAGAGAGGAGCTTTCGGATTGATTTGCCCTCCATATATACCCACAAGCCAGTTATATCCTGAAGGATAGTCCAGTTATATCCTGAAGGATAGGCCTGATAGGGTTTTAGCTGCCCCACACTTCTGAGATGTTTCTATGGAAAGAGGAAGCAATAAAGGGCAATTATGTCCCACATTTTTCTTCTCTCTTTTAAAGCCTCTGCTGCTAAAGAAAGCACTTCTATCTTTTTGAGGCTGTGCTTATGCCTTGTGTTTATTTTGCATTTCCTGTACTGGGGTTGTTTAAGAAGAACAATGATGATGATGGATACAAATAGAGCCAGTATTGGTTTTTCCTGTTGATTTTTGCTCCTTTTCATTCCTTCTCTTTGCAGGTACCAATCCTTATTTGACTTTCCACTGTGTGAGTCAGGGGACCATTCTCCTTGACCTTGCTCCTGACGATAAGGAGTATCAGTCTGTAGAAGAGGAGGTAATCCAAGTCCCTTTCTTAGTGCTTCAGGGGTTGTATATTTTTCTTTCCACTGATAACCTCTCAGAGCTAAAGTGTGCGATACATGTTGGAAGTGCTAAAATAGGATTTGGTGCATGAATTGCATAGATCTGATAGGAAGTTTAGTTTCATTTGTCCTTTTGTATAGAACAATGATAGAAATTATTTTGCTGTGTCCTGCCAATTTTATTTATAAGTGGTCTCTGCTCACTTAGTGCTATTCCAGTTTTATTTTGTTGTTGTATTTTGGATATTGTCTCATAGGGAGGGTTTGCACAGCTTTCTGTAGATAGATGGACCTGTGAGAATTAAAAGCTGTGTGTGAAACCAAGGCATCAAGGCCTTGCAATTCTCTAAGCATTTTCTGTGAACCAGCTTGTTTTCTCTTGTCTCAGTGGCTTAGTTAATTTGTAACCCAGATAAACAGCTCTTGGACAATTGAGAATTGACTGTAATTTTGCCTCCCACACACACACATGCTCTTTTATTTAAGTAAACTACAGGCACATACCATTTTGAAAGCAAAAATCGTAACAGAAAAGAGACTTCCTGAAGAGTTGTGTTTGGTAGAAACTCCATTTCACTGTGCATTTGCTATTTGTGTCATGTTCCTATACTATAGCACAGAAGTGTTTGGAGTAATTTAAAAAGTCTAGATAATCAGGATTGCTGCCAGCTTAGATGGGCATATTTTTTATTAGTAACTTCTTAAACTGGAGTTTCTGCAGATCCTTTTTATAAACTTTTCTGAAGGAAAGGGTCACTTGTCTGTCATAGTAAATTGGAATATTTATTTGAACTATTAAAAAATATTGTTGCTGTAGCTGTAAATACTTCTCTGAAAGACAATGAAACTATTTTTGAGCGAATCAGAAATGTTCTTCTAATGACATAGGAGAAGTGCAATTACTTCCCTAATGCTAAGAAATGCCAACTAAACTCATTAAAATCACATTTATTATTACTATATAGTGATCTTTTTTGTATATTAATTCTCAAAGATTGGGGGTTTTTTCTAATTTAAAGAAGGTTTTCTAGTTGTATATAATTTTGATAGCAAGTACCATTATTCTTTTTTTCTTATGTGGATTTTTATTACAAGATTGGATAATTGCATCAATCAGCTTCCCTGTTGTGGAACAGCATAATGTGTTGGGTGCCTGAGAAATTAGGATATACCTCAATTTAAAATAGAGATTTTTTTTTTTAACACCATTTAATTAATTTTCCATCAAGAGTGTTGTTGCCAGTGATGTACTGAGACATTGCATGGATACTTTGCCTTGCTAGGAAGGTTTACGTGCTGAAATTCAGTTTTGGGTTCTTATGTAGATGCAAAGTACAATCCGGGAGCATCGGGATGGTGGAAATGCTGGTGGGATCTTCAACAGATACAATGTCATCAGGGTAAGTGGTGGTGAAGTATGTTAGTACTTATACCAGCAGGCAGAATCAGTTTGATGGTTTGCCCTTTTATATTTAAAGTTCTTTGTTGAAATGATAATCCCAGAGTTAATGCAAGTGCTAAAATGGATGCGTGCTCTGCACAGGAAATGAGGGACAAGTGTCACTTGGGCTCCTAAAGGAGTCTGAAGGACTGATGTTGAAGACAGAGGTGGTGAAGAACCTGACTGAATTTCAGAGGCCTCTAACTTCTGTGTTTGACCCTTGCAACACATATTTATCTTTTTTCTCTGTGTAGTCTTTTCTTGCCATTTTAAAGGAGATTTGGGGTATGTAGGTGAAAGGGTGATCATGACTTCAAATAAGAAATTTATATCTCCCTATGCAACTTTCCAACTTGACACCACCTCCTTTGCCCTTGCCAACTAGAAAAATGCATTTTCCAAGCCATGGTATTCCAGAAAATAGTGTTGTCATTTTGAGGGAAAATACACTTTCTGGTTTCTTTTTCTGGGGAGAAGGAAATAGAGGGAATCAGAACAGAACTTGGTTTCTGAGCTTCAACAAACCTGTGCTGCCTATCTCTTTGAGAAGCAAGCCTGTGCAGAGCCTTTTCAGCTTGATCCAATAGATCACATGTCCTGAAGTAAACTCTTCTTCCATCCTACTCCCAACCAATGGTGAAGTCCTTTACAGAAACTACAGTGGTATTAGAGCATGTGGCTGAAATTATATTAATAGATTAAACAGAACCAAAAGTTGGGTTTTTTTCATAAAAAATAAACCTAAACTAGACAGCAAGTTTCAAAGAGCTAGATTAGATCAGTCAGACTGAAATGTTATAGTAAGAGCATGGTTGGATCTGTTGTTCTGCTGCAGATTCAGAAGGTAGTGAACAAGAAGTTGCGGGAGAGATTCTGTCACAGACAGAAGGAGGTCTCAGAGGAGAATCATAATCATCACAACGAGCGCATGTTGTTTCACGGTAAGGAAGGAATGTCTCTTTGGGTACATTGGTATTTAACAAAAAAAACCACCCTTGCAAAGACCCACAGGCAGTGTTATTGTTGCTATGTCACCATCCTATGCAAGTAATTGTATTTCTACACCAGAAATGCAGGGGGTGCATTGGGGGTGTGGGGGTGATAGACTTACTCTGTGTGGTTACTGCAATTCAAAAAGCTACACTAGATAAGAAATACTTTAATGATGTTTTGGATTTTTAAGAAAGAGGAAGGTTTTTTGCTAAGCTGTATCTTAGTCATTTCCAGTAAAGCTGCTGGGATGATGTTACATTGCTGTGAGAAAGACATGCTGTCTTCTAAGTGAGGGTAGCAGTATACAATAAAAGTGTTTTACCCTGGTGCTTTAGGCAACATCAGGGAAAGGAATCAAAACCAACCATGAGTTTCAGCAAGATTTCTCTAGAAATGCCTGCAAATGACAATTGCCTGAAGGTCCTTCTGTCCTAGATTCTTCTGTGATTCTGTATAGGAAATTGGTTTTAGGTATGATTGTCCTGACACCTTGCCCCACCTTAAGCAGTGCTGACTCCTGGAGAGGGTGTGCATTGACAAGATAAATTGCACTGAAATGTGAGTGGGGGGAAAACCATTTAATGAGATCTGTGAAATGAGTAAGAAATGAGTCACACGTGGGATTTTGGTATATAATGATAAATCCCACACATCACTGCATCCTGCTGGATATCGCCCCCTTCCAGCTGACTGAGCACACTTTCTGGTATTTAATGGTCTATTTGAGGCAGATAAACTCCTCTTGACATTGAGGTGTGTATTACTATACAACTTAACAAGTATGTGTCTTTTTGTGTCACTGTTCTAGGGTCTCCTTTTATTAATGCTATCATTCACAAAGGATTTGATGAAAGGCATGCATACATTGGAGGAATGTTTGGAGCTGGAATTTACTTTGCTGAGAACTCCTCAAAAAGCAACCAATATGTGTACGGAATAGGGGGAGGAACCGGCTGTCCCACACACAAAGACAGGTCCTGTTACATCTGCCACAGGTAGGAGTCCAGCAGAGTTCCCCACACATAATTCTGGCTGTCTTGGTTTTTATGATCCTGGCACAGGGTGACAGGCAGGCAAAGAATGCCACTTGAGCTTGGTCATGGCAGGAAAAATGCAGTTTTCCGTTTGTCAAGGTTGAACAAAAACAAATATAAATGCAGCAAGTCCCACAGGAAGGTCAAAAATTACTGTGAAGCATGCAGTGAGTATAAATCAAAGTGAGCTGTGGCTCAGGGAATAGGCTTGAAACAGCAAGTTTGAAAATGAAGAGTCAGGAGAAAATAGCAATTAAACTCCAGGCACTCTCAGGACAAAACTGCAGCAGTGCAGTGGTCAGCAGTACAGTGTGGTACTGTGGATCAGATAATTTTGGAGGTAGATAATTTTGGAACAGGACTTAATCACAGCTTTGTTTTGTCCTGGAGTAGATCAGTGTGTTTCTCACACTTTGACATCTGTCCATTCCCTGCTGGTAGGAACACAGGGTTTCAGCTTCTTTCAACAGCTTTGTATAAAATGAACTAGAACAGGCTTCCATGTGAGGGCTAAACAAGCTGTGTGTTTTCCCTTCTGAGTGTCATGAAAGATTTTGTGACAGGTTTATACAGTCTTAGAACTCGTTTCTTTAAGTGTTTCTCTAAAAAGCCGTGAGAAATTAATCGTAATGAAATAAACTCAAAAGATGGAAATCTTCTGGAAGCATACAACTCCTAGTAAGATATTTGAAAATGACACTCTCTTTTTTCCTTTTAGACAAATGCTCTTCTGTAGAGTGACCCTTGGCAAATCCTTCCTTCAGTTCAGCACGATGAAGATGGCTCACGCCCCTCCCGGGCACCATTCTGTTATCGGCAGGCCGAGCGTGAACGGACTGGCGTACGCCGAGTATGTGATCTACAGAGGGGAGCAGGTAGGTGGGTCAGCAGGGACTGCCTCCATACAGGGACACACCTTGGAGCTGGACGTGGGCTGTGGCTGCTTTCCAGACCAAGCGTGCTGTGGTAACGCTGCTGATTAGGTTCTTGGGTTTTCTTTCATTTAAATGGGGAAATAAACAGTGAACTGTATCTAGACAGCAAATGCTACTCCTATCCACTGATCTGCTCTGATTTATGCCATGCAGAATTGCCTAATTTCCCCTGTGCAGCATGGATGGAGTCTATTAAGAATTGTAGCTTCTCTCAGTAAGCTTTTTCGCATTGTGTTTTAGTGGCTTTACTGCAGCATCGAGGTCACATTCATTTTTGGGGCTCTAGTACATCTGGAGGATTCTGGACTTTTTACCTGTAGATTCCCAGCAGTGACAGAGACTACTCTTAAATGACAGCTAGAGTAGCACAGGAGTCTTCAAAAGTTAATTCTTAATCTGAAAAACTCTAGACCTTGACTCTATAGAAGTGTTTTGCTTACTGCCATGGGTGGTGGCTCCCGGATCACCTGATCAAACTGAATAACCAGAAATTTGTGATGACAAACATCCCAGGTCCTGTTGGTGTTGCCAAGCCACTCTCCATCGCATCCTGAGGTTATCTTGGTTGGTTGGAGCATGCTGCTAATAATACCAAGATCATGGGTTTGATCCCTCTATGGGCCATTCACTGAAGAGTTGCACTTGGTGGTGTCCTTGTAGGTTCCTTCCAGCTCAGAATACTCTGTAGTTTTGTGATATTTGAAAAGTCATGGCAGTCAGGCGTGGACCCCAGTGAATGGAAAAAGGGAGACATCACTTGGATTTTTTAAAAGGGGAGAAAAGTAGACACAAGGGAACTACAGATAGGTGACTTTCACCTCTGTAGCTGGGAAGATCATGGAACAGATCCTCATGGAAGGCACATGCAAGACCAGGAGGTGATTCAGGACAGCCAGCACAGCTTAAGTGAGCACAGATTGTGCCTGACCAGTCAGGTGAACTTCTAAGGCAGAGTGACAATTATGGTCTCACAAAGCCTTCTATTTTTTCATCAAACAAGCCCATCTCTCTCTCAGCATCTTCTTTATCCTGTGCTTTTTGCCCCTGACTATCTTATTGGTCCTTTGCTGAACTTGGCTTCAGCTTGCTGGCATATTTCTTGTATTGTAGAACCTAAAAATTATGTGTGTGGTTTTCTAGATATGGTCAAGGGAGTACTGAATGAACAGCAGTCACTGCTACACCTGGTGATTTACCACAGGATGCTCGTAGCCTTTACTGCTGCCAGGACACACTATTGATTCTTTTAGCTTGCTGTCTCCCAAGGACCCCATCACCTTTTCAGCTGAGTAGTTTCTCATCCTGCAGTGTTACAAGGAATTCATCCCAGGTGCCTTTGCCCTTGCTGGGTTCCATGAGGCTTCTGTAGGCCCAGTCTCCTCTCATCTGTCAAGGTTCCTCTGAATGGGGCCCTGCCCTCCATCAACTCTAGCTTTGTTCTGGGACTGAACTGCTACCAGCTGTCTCCAGGAAACACTGGACAGGTGGACAGATGACTTACTGGGTCATGTGCTTTGGGTAGGCCAAGTATCTCACTGCCAGTAAAGGCCTTTGCAGGTTGCATTGCAAGCTGTTGTCCCTTGTGAGGTCAGACTTTATCAGTAATCCAAGATTTTTTAGTAACTTAACAGGCACTGACCGATTTGTAGGATTAGCTAACAAGGAGAGTAACTCTGAATTCCTGTTGCACACAGTTTCTGGCAGTGACTGTGTGGAAGAAGCATCTTTCTATTTGTGTATTAACCAAGGTGTTGAGTACATCCAGCAGTTCCATGGTGCTGGCTAGGTTTGAAATATCCACTTTTTCTTGCATGCTGTGAACATAGAGCTGGTTCTTGTGCTGTCCTTCCTGGTCACTGTTTAGTGAAATGCAAAAAATGGAACTTGCTGAGTTACCCTTGCATAAACCAGGGTTTTTTTCTTATTTTACTTTCAGGCATACCCAGAATATCTCATTACGTACCAGATTGTGAAACCAGAGGCTCCCTCACAGACAGCAACAGCAGCAGAACAAAAGACCTAGTAGCTTCAGAGCAGTGGAGAAGGATGTGACTTCAATCTTGGACTGGATGGATACATGTTTCAGAAAATCAGTACCACATAAAATTCTTAACAACCTGGAAATAAGCTGTATGTCTTTTATAAAGTATTGCTGTCTTGATGAATATGATAATGAGTAACTCTTGCATACTCAACTGCTACTGTTCCTCTTGAGGAAAGTTTACAAGGGACTGCCTTTTAATAACATATCTCAGGCTCCTAGTCTCTGCAGATACCATGTGTAAAATAATATTGTTTTGATCTAGACCTTGGGAACATTATTGTGCAAATGGAAATCTTTATTGCTGCCATCTCACATGTTAAAATTTCAGACACTACTTTTCTAGTTATTTTATTTGCAGATAAATTACATTAAGCCCATCATTTTCTTTTCAGCATACACCATTCATTTCCTGTTTTCAAGAGATCCTATTTATTCTCCTTTTGTATTCTGAAGTTGAGCCAGAACTTTCTTGAAGATATTTTGCACAAAGTCAAGTCGACTGAAATCATTAACAATGCAATATGAATTTCATCTGAGGAGGGGCTAGGTCAAGTTAGTCAATATAGGGGTTTTTTGCACACCTCTGAGCAAACGATAACACGAATGAGTGGAACTTTAGAGTGGAAACACACGATGTCAGTTTGCTGCCTTGTCTGTGTGAGTTTTCTGGGGGAAGCCCTGGGAAGTGTTTGCAAGGGTAAAACCAGCTCTTGTGCTTAGAAGAACTTCATGAAACAGGTCCATGCCCTCTGCTGGCATCTCTAAAAGAACATTTTATAAGACTCCTGTTAAGTACAGTGCAGCCTTTGAAATGTTCTCCAGTTACAGCAGGGTATGGTTTTGCTGGGAGAAGCAGGTAAAAAGTCAGAAGATTTCATACAGGAGGGTGTATCTGGTTCATGTTCCTCTGTAAGATGAGACCCAGTGAATGGGTTTCAGGCTGGTAAGGGAGAGTGTATTACAGCAGTTTCCTGTCACATCTTTGTGTGTGACATCACAGTTGAAGAGCTTAAGGGATTTACAAAAGTAATAATTTTTTAAAATATCAATTTTACATTTTGATGAGAACAAAATTTTAAAGTATCAGTTGGCAAGCAGATTTGTTTGCAGGTATACCAGAGAACAAAGTTAGGATTTATTCACTTAATGCCCTTCCTCCTAAATTCCCAGGTTTATTTTGCTGGGTAGGAGAAAGTTATTTTTAAGCATTGCATAGCACAGCATCAAACAGTTTCAAAAGTCCCTCTAATGGTGGATATATATTTAACAAAAGTAGAAACTGTTTCTTTTTAGTGGTGTTTTACAGTTTCAGAGAAGGTTGAAGATCAAGACCTGTTCATTTTTTTCCTAACAACCAATACCAGGAGATGTGCTTCAGTGTTGACCACATGACCTCTGGAGGAAAAAAATGTTCCTTTGGACACAACATGTGGTACATCAACCAGCACTATTTAGTATCTGATGATCCAGTTCATGCATTCAGTTTTTATCCCCCTTAAAGCAAGAAAGCAACATGATAGTGTGCTCTTAGTTCATAAAAATACACGTGCTCCCCACAAGTGGGATTTTGCTAACATGTTTGTATAAAACAGACTTAATCCTGAAGAGCATTTCACTTTCAGCATTAAGACACAACATTTTTATTTTTAATGTTAAGGCATTAATGTTGAAGCAAGTCATCCTCACAAGAAATATCACCCACTGTAAAATCAGTCATTTGATGCAGTATGGCTACCTGAACATCATCTGTTTCTAATATCTCTAAATGAAACCTTAGAAATAGCAATACTCCAACAGAACTTGAACTCTTACTTTTCTTGAGCTGACAGTGGATATATGGTTCTCGCTTCATTTTGTGACCTGATTAAATATGTAGCTTTGAAGTCCCAGCCAGGCTCTAGCCTAGTTGTCCTTTTAAACAAGTTTCATTGATAAAATTGGGTGCTTGTATTTTGGCTACTTGTTTCATAGTGTTAGAGGATTGCAAAGATCACCACTAGGCTTTGAAGCTTTGTATTCACCATTTAAGTTTGGGGTTTGTTTTTCATTTAGTTAATAACAGAGTGAGGGGATGTGCCTATCTGCTCTAGGGTTTCAGATAGCAACCAGAGCGAGTGCTGCTCTCCATCCCCAATTAGACATAGTTTAAATGGTGAAACAGCTGTGCTGCTTAGGTGAGCAAAATGGTTAATGTGGGCGTGAAAGTTAAAAGCTTTACATCTTGCAAAAACAAGAACAAATCTAAAAAGGAAAACCCCAGCGAGCCCACACCGGATGCTGTTCTTGCTTGTTGTTTCCGATGTGCTGGTTGAACTAATGGCTAGTCTGGATTCCTTTTGCAGACTGAAACTTCTAGAGGATAAAAATAGCCTGGAGGAGACTGAGGGGGAGACCTCATTGGGGTTTCAACATCCTCACGAGAGGAAGTGGATGGGCAGGTACCAATATCTTTGCTCCCATGACCAGTAACAAGACTGGAGGAAACAGCATGAAGCTGAGTCAGGGGAGATTTAGGTTGGATATTAGGAAAAAGGATTTTCACCCAGAGGGACCCCAGGGAAGTGGTCACAGCACCAAGCCTGATAGAGTTCAAGAAGCTTTTGGACCACACTCTCAGGCACATGGTGTGACTCCTGGGGCTGTCTTGTGCAGAGCCAGGAGTTAGACTCAATGATCCTGATAGGTCCCTTCCGGATTTTCACCCAGAGGGACCCCGGGGAAGTGGTCACAGCACCAAGCCTGATAGAGTTCAAGAAGCTTTTGGACCACCCTCTCAGGCGCATGGTGTGACTCCTGGGGCTGTCTTGTGCAGAGCCAGGAGTTAGACTCAATGATCCTGATAGGTCCCTTCCAACACAGCATACTCTGTGATTCTACTTTCCAGTATCTTTGAACTGCCAGTGTTAATGTTGCTGATGTTCTATGCAGAGTAAAGGTGCTGTGTGAGGAAATCATTTTGCAGTGGTTTTTGTCTCGTAATGACGTGATCTCATATCCGTTTGTGGCCAGACACAGAGGAATACCCAGGCCTGATAATGCATCTGTGTGTTGTAGACACCTGTGCAGGAGTAGCAGATGTTGTCATAGCTGCTCTCACAGTTCAGAACGAAGTGAGGATCTGCCCATCAATACCAAAGTTGCCCGTTAGAAACCCGTTCGTGGTGCTTTTGGCAGGCTGTTAACGGTACAGAGGCTGCTGCTTCAGCTGGGGAGCGAACCACAGTGGGACCTTAAAAATGCTGTGACCCCATAACCAGGCAGCTGCTGCCTCCTGAGAAATGAAGTCTTTGACCTCCTGAGAAGAGCAGTCCCCTGATATGGGGATGCTCATTTTGCAGCATTGGATCACTGGTGGGAGGCACAGTAGGATCTGAGGTGTAGGAACGCTGGGCTAGGCCCTCATAGGCTTGGGAGACCAGGGGCAGATCTTGGTGTTGGCTGGCACCAGGGACAATGTGTCTCAGGCCTATTGATTTTTGTCAGTGTCCCTTTGAGGCAGCATTTTGAAACTTGTGTGTAGTTTTGCAACAGAACTTTAATAGGCAAAACAGAAAGAAAAGTCATCACCTAACAAAGGAGGAGGGTTCTGCTCTCCATTGCTGAAACTGTTTCCATGAGACTGATGACTTAGATAACCTGGTGCAGAGTGACACTGCAGTCTGATTGCTGTCAACAAAACTTTTGTTAGGATTAAAAGCAGACAGTACAGTACCTTAATAAGGTGTATTTTATTTTTTCATTCTTATTTTTATCTACCAGTTGTGTTTGATCCCAGCTCCATAGAGACTGTTACAAACCTCGTATACTAGTTCCACCGTGTTGCAGTCACTATTGGTTTTCTAACCTCTGTTTCGAGTGTTTGCATGTGATGCAATTGAATCCCACTGCATTATGTAGCAGGAATTTATTTTGCCTGCAAACTTAAACTTTGCTTGTTTGTTATGGGAGTACCCCAGAAGAAAATTCTACACTGGAGCAGATTAAAAACCTTGCAAAATGTTCTGCACTGTTGGCTGTGGTGGCCAGCAGGCACAGAAAAGGGATGTGCTGAATGGGAGGGAGTAGCTCCTGGAAAAAGGCACTTTCTTGGCTCTGGAAACCAGCTGCTCCTACTGTTTGTTCTAGGTTGGAGGAGGCGTCTGCTCCCTGTGAATGTGTGAGGTGCTGAGGTATGCAAACATGCTGTGCCACTGCATGGCCTGTGAGAGCTGCTTAAGACAGTGGCAAATCTCAAAAAAGCCTCCTGCATCCCTGCAATGACAGCAGTTTAATGCACTGCCTGCAATTTCCATATGGGACTGTTAACAGAAATTGCCCTGAGCAGGATTTTTCAAGATGGGTAAAAGGAAGGGTCCAGCTGCAAAACAGATTAGTTTGAACATTGCTAATCATTCTCAGAAGCTGAATGTCAGGAAATATGTGAATTTATTTTCAGTGGGATTTCTCTGTTTCCATGCTGCTTTGCTACAGAAAGTCCAGCTCAGAAATCCAAGAGGATGTGCATCTAATGCATGCTTCAGTTATGTTAAGCTGAATATTTGTGCAGCAGGGTAAGCTATGCTGCAGCCTGGATAGGGAAGACCTGGGAAAGCACATATTCAGTTCTTGCCTCATGTAGCAACTGGCTTGTGAACCTCCACAGACCTGAATCCATTGGTGATCAGACGTGGTGGCTTGGCACAGTCCAGAGCCTGTTCTCCTGGTCTTTCCGAGAGCGGCAGGACAGATGTGCAGAGAGGGAGTGGCAGTGTTCCCACCACTCTAAACACAGAGTAGATGTGAAACCCAGGGGATTAGGGAACACTGTATGTGTGTTAAAATCTCTGAAGCAAGGTGAATGAGCCTGGGAATCTGTAGGGGACATGGGAAGCAGATGCATTTCTGTTGCACTGACACGTATGCCTGTCAAGTCTCATTATCTGACTGGTTTTGATGTATCGGTCTTGCTGAACGTGCTGGTGGCAAGTTTTAGTGCTGGTCCCATTAATTACTAATGTAGATTATTAGAATCTCTATTACAAGATAATTTTGACACTTTCTTAACATCTGCAGAACTTGCTTCAGCTTTGGAAATTGAAATGGGGATTTTCTGTGCTGCGGTCCCATGAGCTTGTGCTTTGTCATTCCTAATTGCTTTCTCTGACAACCCAGATGGCAATGTAGCTGGGGGTTGAATTTCTAGACCTTTTTTGTGTAACTTGTTTTCATGACTAGCCCTGTATTTGTCCTCTCTTGGTTGCCAATTACCTGGAGCTGGGATATCATTTATTTATTTCTTCTTTTACCTTCTCTCTCAAAGTTGAAGATGATGGGCAGTTTCTCAGCCTACCTACATGGTGGACTTTAGGTAACACCTCTGTAACAACTGAGTTTGATCTATAAGTGTGCTTGGCTAAATGTCTGATCTGCAATACTTGTAATAGTTTAAAAGTCAATAAATACATTTTTAACAGTTGCTCTGTGAAAATTGAATGTGTGCACAACCTGCTGCTCTGTCTCGATTTTAGGACAAATTTGATCCAGCCAAACTGTTGAAAACAGTTTTATTTTTATTTTCTCCAAACAATGTTTTCTCCCTCCCTCAGGCAATAAATAAAAAGTTAATTTCTAGAAAAAAAAAAAAGAACAAAACCATACATATGTACATCAGCCACACAGGCATCTTGTGTGTTGGACTGGACTGGAGGGAAGGACAGAGGTAGGGTGGGAAATAAGGCTCCAGGTGGGTTGAAGATGAGGCATTTTCAAGGCTTGGACCAAAAGCTGCAGAAATGTTGCACAGGTGAACGAGACTCAGCACAGGAAAACGGCTGGTCATGAGGTGGGAGAAGCTTGAAAATGCTGGATGAACGACACCTCTGGGCCAGCCTGCCCTCCACCCCACAGCTTCCCTCTTCTATTATAGCCCACCCAGGTCCCATCCTGCTTCTTTAGGAAGAGCAGCAGTGGGACTGGTGGAGAGGAAACTGAACAGAGTAATCAAAAGCAGCCCAGACTGCTGCCCCAATCCCTTATTTCTCATCTTAAAGCCACAGGAGATTGGACCTAAGTTTTCTAGAAACCAGCGATCCACAGAGGCAAGAAAAGAGGCATTTCAGACTACATCTCTCCCTCCAAACCACTTCTCAACCACAGAGATTGCTCTCCCCCTGGAATAGGCTCAGCTGCTGACTTGGCAGGTGCCTCTGTCCCCAGCCACTGGCAGGGCTGGGGTTGAGTGCAGGCAGCCCTGTGCCACCACTCCTGCTCGCCCCAAGGCCCTGCCTGCAGCTCTGCTTGTCCGAAGTGTACCTGGCTCAGGTAAGCAGCACCCACCACACACACACACAGGTCTCTGCAAGGGGGAAGGCTGCTGCACAGTAAAAACAGGGAATGCTCCCTTGTCAACCTAGATGAGCTAGGGCCACAAACGTGGGGAGAAGGGGAGGTGTAAAACAAGACAGTAAAATAGGGATGGAAACAGGTGAAGACCAGGCACTTGAGGAAACCCAGTACACTTTTTTTTCCTCCCCCAAAGAGCCTGGACAATGTCAAGGTTTGTGGCTTTTACAACTTCGTGCTCTCAAAACATAACAATAAAAAGCAAACAAACCAAGATGAGGTAAGAAATTTCTCTACTAAAAAGATGGCGAGTCCAGGGTGAATGGCAGTGTCCGGCACTATTGCTTAACATCACAGGGCTCCGCGCCCCTGCTCGCCTGGCACTGCCTGCCCGGCTGGCCTGGGCCCTGAGCTAACAGCTGGGCGACGTGGTGATGGGGCTGTGCAGGTAGGGGAGGCTGCTGGGGGTGGCATGGACACCGACAGACACCGGGAAGCTGAAGACAAACTGCGAGGTGGGGGTGGAGGTGGCCTTGCCCCGCTCCCGCAGCGTCCCCGAGGGGCTGACGGCCTCCACTGCGTATGAAGTGGCCAACACCTGCGACTCGAACTGCAGCAGCTGCCCCATGAAGCTGAAGTTGGGGGAGATGATGCTGCGGCGCTGCTTGACAAACTCGAAGGCCTCCTCTAGCTTGACGCGCTTCTTCATCATCAGGTACGCCAAGCAGATGGTGGCTGAGCGGGAGATGCCAGCCTGGCAGTGCACCAGGACACGGCCACAGCACTCCTTCACTGAGTCTGGAGGGCAACAGGGGTGAGATGTGAGACCCACGCCCTGCCACCACGGCCAGCCCCTCACCAAAGCTGCAGGGGCTGGCTGACCTCCCACCGTGCCACCAACAGACACGTCTCTGCACAGGCACTCACCAATGTACTCGATTGCCTCCATGAACCAGGAGCTGATGTCAGCTTTGTGGTTATCCTCCACAGGGATACACTTGTACTGGTAGTGCCCCTCGAAGTGGTTGGGACAGTCTGAGGAGACGTTCAGCAGCGCTGTGATGCCCAGCGCGTCGAGCATGTCCCGCCGGGCTGCGTGGTAGGCGCTGCCAAGGTAGAGGAAGGGAAGGATCTCCACGGGCCCACCCTGTGACAGAGGAAAACAACAGGTTGACCAGGGGACAGTGGGAGACAGGACACACATCCAGATGGCTTGGAAACATGGAGCTGTGCAGCAACCTGGCACCTGATCCAGGGCCCTCAGAAGAGGGAGCAGAGGTGCCTCCCTGACATGCTAAACTTGTGTCAGCCCTTCCTCTCCCTCTCTGTCCTGTTCAAAAACAGGCAGGTGTGGGTTAACAGGATGTGGGCTTGTCCACTCCATGGGGCACACAAACACCCTGGGCTTAGGAGGACCACCCTGCTTTCCCATGAGAGGAAAGGAAGCAGGGCTCTGGCTCCACAAGCCCCAGCTGAGGGAGAGCAGAGAGACTCCCATTGGAGCAGGCTGCAATGCTGGAAGGGCAGTCAAAATAGCTATGCACTGGGCTTTCAGACATACCTGGTCATGGAAGGGGGTCCCACAGGAACTGCAGCCCAGATCCAGGGGCTCAGCGCTGGTGGGGGGTGACACATTGCTCAGGGACTTGGTTTTTGCACAGAACTCGGGGTACTCCGAGGAGAAGCGCTCATAGCCCCCTGCAAGGAGAGAGGCACAAAGTGTTATTCCAGACCACACTCAGGACTGCAGAACCGCACAGCCGGGGATGCCCTTGGCCACTAGATGATGCTACAGCGATGGAGAGTGGTCTCCTGCCCCAGGAGGAGCAGTCAGGCTCTCGGCAGCAAGGGGGGAATCCCTGAGGCCCCACCATTCCCTTGGTGCAAGAGCACCAAGAGCAAGGATCCTGGCCACCCAAAGTCTCTGGTCCAGGGATCGGTCCCCTGCATACTGCCAGCCAAAACTCCAGACTGAGGCCAAGGTTGCTCTCTGAGACAATGAAGAGAGGATTTATTTCCATCATACTCAGACTTAAATGGGAAAAGCTGCTCCAAGGCCAAAGACTGCTCAGTTCTCATCTTCCCTTGACACATCATTTTGTCACAAAAGACAGGCAGGTCTCCCGTTCCCAGCTTGACCCTGCAGCTCAGAGCTCCCAAAACAACAGACCAGGAAAGCCCTGGCTCTGGCCAGGTACAGCCAAGCTGAGCCCACAGCCAAACTGCCCTCTGAGCGAGGTTCTGCTGCTTCCCAAGGACACAGGTGCAAGCTGAACGTGGAGCAGCTTGTTCCTCTGCCCTGCTGCCAGGGGCATAAGCACAGGGCATGCCAGGGCTTTGTCATGGCAGACAAAACAAGAGCAAACCCCACTGAGTTCCCAGGACAGGGAAACTGCAGTGTTGGCCTGCCGATAAACACTTCTGGTGAGATCTCCTTCTCTCATTCAAATCAAATCAACAACCCTGACATCCTTTTAAGGTCTGACTTTGAGCCTCGAAATCAATGAAAATCAGGTATTTTACTATCACCACAGGACTCCAGCTAGATCAAGCCCTGACTCCTGGGATGGTTCCTGAAGACTCAAACCATCTGCAGGTCCTATGCCTGCAGATTTCAGCTTACCAAAACATACAGCAGGACACATCCTTCTTATCCAGCCTTAGCTCTGAGACTGCCCTGAACAAGGCTGAATACTCAAAACAATGGATGCAAGCTTCTCCAGCAGCCCAGAAGTCCCTGGGCAGCCAGAGCCCCGCACTGGCAGCATCCCAGTGGCCTTTGTGGTTTCCTCCCCCTACAAAAGGAAGGGCTCTAGCACCTTACAGCAGAACCGTGCAGATTTATCACTGCATTTGCATTGTCCCTCCCACGCAGCCAGGACACTTTGCAGAGGCTTCATTTCCCTGGCCTGACATCCCTTTACAGTCCTACTGCTTCGATTTGAAAGAGCATCCAAAACCAAGAGCCTTTGTTAGACAACTTCCAGGGATCTGGTCCTAAAATCCCTGGATCTACCACATTGCACTCCAGTGGTCATGGCACCATGAGAGGGAAAAGCTGCCCAGGGTGATGGGCAGAAACATCTGGGAAAGAATGGTTCTTGGAAAGAAGAAGAGACCTTTTCAAACCTTACTCTGCAATGAATCTCATCAGATTCATTGATCCAGCAGCTCCTGGCTGCTCACGCCAGCCCTGCCCGGTGCAGGAGCCAGGCAGAGCAGGTGCCCATGGCCAGGCTGCTTCACAGGGAGCCTGGCAGCAGCCTGACCTGCACCAAACACTTCAGGATCTTCATCGTGACCTGCGCAGCTCTGGCTTAGCGTAGCTCTCCTGGAATCTGAGCAAGATCATTTTAGTGGCTCTGTGGAACTCAAGAAGACTGTAGTGCTGAGACTGAGTCTCTCGGAGCCCACTCCTTAAAAAGGCTCCCATTCCAACCAACCTCCCACGAGAGCCACAGAGGCACCCGAAGCTCTCAGCTGACAAAGGCCACCCTTGATTGAGGCAGGGCAGCATTTTGTGCCACACGGGTGGCTCCAGCACCGCGCTGGCTCCTCTGAAGGAGCCTGCTCCTGAGCGAGCCCTTGCTGTGCCGGCTCTCCCGCAGCAGCACATCGTACGGCATCCCTGGAACAGCTCCTGCTGCTTTTACTGTACCTAGCACAACCAAAGTGCGAGCTCCTCCATCTATCAAGCCTCTTAATGGATTTCCTACTCTGCATACACATCCTCACCCCTGCTGTAAGTAAGCCGAGGAATAAATTGACTCTCAGGCTGTAAACAAAAAAGAAAAAGCCCCACAGAGCTCATCCAGGAACCCCAGCTGAGCATCCCCCGCCCCTAAATCATCTCTCGGCAATTCTCGGGACCAAACGCGCACAGCTTCCCATTTAACACACGGCAGCGGGGGGAAGCCCTGATCCCAGCTGCGGTCGCAAAGGGAGCACAGAGGCATCCGCGGGTTCTCTGCCCGCTGCGAGGGGACACGGCCGTGACAGCGGGTACCTGACCCTGCACAAACACCTCCCTGCGCCGCGGCGCGGGGCTCACACAAAGCGCGGGGGCATTCCCCGCACACACTCGCTTCCCTCGGCTCCCGGCCAGGGCCACGGCGCCCGCCCCTGCCCCGGAGCCGGTTCAGACCGCCCGGGCAGCCCCGCTCGGGGCCGATGGCCGCGCAGCCCCGGTGCGGGCGGCCCCAGCCCTGCCGCCGCTCCCAAGTTCCGCCGGGCGGCCGGAGCCGGGAGAGGGCAGCGCCCGGAGCCCACTGCCGGGCGGGGGCGGCTGTCCGCGGCCGCTCCCGGTGTGTATCCCACGGGTCCCGGTGTGTGCCCCGCCGCGGTTCCCGGTGTGTGTCCCGCCGCGGTTTCCGGTGTGTGCCCCGCGTTCCCGGTGTGTGCCCCGCGGTTCCCGGTGTGTGCCCCTCGTTCCCGGTGTGTGTCCCGCCGTTCCCGGTACCTGCCAGCAGGCGGATGTCGGCGCGCGCCGTGTCGCGCCGGAGCGCGCGCACCACGAGCGCCACGGTGCTGTCCTCGCGCAGGGCCTCGGCGCGCGGGCTGCGCTCGTCGTACACCACGACGGCGGCGTAGAGCCCGGCCCGCAGCCGCGCGCGCACCTCGCCCTCGGCCGGCAGGATCTGCTCCAGGCTCACGGCGCCCTTGGCCCGCCGCCGCACGATCGTGTTGCAGCGCACGTTGAGCGCCCCGCGGATGTGCCCGGCGCTGTGCGCCAGGAAGGGGCGGCAGTCCAGCACCAGGCACCGCGCGGCGCCGCCGGCCCCGGCCTCGTCGCGGCCCACGAGCCGGCGCAGCGCGCTGCCCTCCATCTCGCGCAGCCCCTCGGTGGCCACCATGGCGGGGAGCAGCGCCCGCCCCGCCCATCCGCGGCGCGCGGCGGCCGCATGAATGGAGGGGAGGCGGCGCGCGGGCCGGGCGACGTCACCGCCTCCATTCACAAAAAAAAAAAAAAGGAAATCCGTCCGCGCCGCCCGCCGGCCGCGCGCGGTGAATGGGGAGAGCGGCGGGCCTTTGTCACCGCGGGCAGCGCCGTGTCACACCCCCCCACAGAGCCCCCGGGTGGCACGCTGCTCGGGCACACGCTGCGGGGCACGCGCCCGTCCGCACAGACACACAGACAGAGACACAGACACACAGACACAGAGACACACACAGACACACGCACACACAGACAGACAGACACACACACACGCACACACACACAGACACACGCACACACAGTCAGACACTGACACATACACAGACACACACACACACACAGAGGCACTCTCAGACACACGCACACGGGCCGGGCACACGCTGCGCACACTCCCACATCCCTCCCCCTTTGTCCCCCAGCTCTGTCTCCCTGGGCTGCCTGCCGCGGCACCGAGCAGGGCCCGCGGTCGGCTCCGCAGGGTCCCCCTGGGCTTCTGACCACGGCTCTTTCACGGGCACGCTTCCCCTCCTCGTTAGCTGCAGAGCCCCGAAAGCACTACAGCGCCCTGCCTGTGATGCGACTGTGGAGAGGGCTCTTCGATTCAGCTCCTGCACACAGGAACTCTATTTTCGGCCAAAAGCCCAAGGAGTAAATGCACAGCCCTGAAGCGTCCCAGGAGGTCTCCCCATGACCACCAGGCAAACGCGGAGCAGTCATTTCACCCCACAGCCCCTTTGGCCTGCTGTCAAACAGAAGCAGCGCCCAAACCACAATGCCAGCAGCCGTGCCCAGGGCATTTCCTGCGAACAGATGCCGGCCAGCCCCAGCTGAGCCTGCTGCAGAGACCCGCAGGGGTTCGGCTGTCCCCGTGGGGACCTGGGTGTGGTGGGTGTAAGGCTGGGGGCCCGATGGCCATTCAAGCCCTCCTGCCCCGTCACTGCGTTTGACAGAGGGCAGCGCTGGAGAGGAGCTCGCCTTGCCCTGCCGTGTTTATGGGCACGGCAGGGAAACACCTTGCTGCGTGCGCCTGCTGCCCGGGAGGCAGGCGGGCGGGCACACACGTGCAGCAGCTGCAGCGGTGGCACTCCTGCATCCTTCGCCCTCTGCCCCTGACCGCGGCGGGCTCTCCCCTCGGCCTGAGTCAGCCCGGTCTTTGCACCTGCGCCGTGCCGAGCTTTCGCCAGCCGGGCGAATGAGATTTGCTGTGGGGGAAGCACAGCTGCCGTTTGTGCAATACGCCCCGCTCCAGGAATGCATCAGAGCCTGTTGCCTCACACGGCAGCGGTGCAAGGCTAATCGTGTCCCATTCCAACCTGCACCAAACACAAGAACAGCAAAACCCTATTTCTGCTGAAGTAAAGCAGGCTCTGGCTGGCCAGTGACATACCTGTGACATTCTTTCTTCCTTTAGAGAAAGTTGTCAGAGACAAAAACCTCAAACTGAGAATTTGATTACAAATAAGTGGAAAATTACGCTCTCATACCAACAGTACTTGAACTCAAGTTGGATCATCAAAACATCTTAAAAAGTTTTGGGCAAGGCCTGATGCCAAAATATGTTGTTTTCTTTGTTCCCCTTGGGCAGTTGTTGGCCACCACCCCAGGATGAGCTAGCCTGATGTCTCCAATGCCCTCTGCACTATTCAATCCAGCTTTTACACTAAAATTAGATAACCAAGGGCACAAAGTGTATGTCCTTGGAGGCAGGCCTATCATCCTCATTTTTCCCTCTCTCGTCCAGTGTGTGACTGGGACAACCAGATCTGAGGGGGGAGAGGAGGGCGATATTGCCATGGGTGCAGGAAGGGGCATTTGGGCTGATGTCCCTGGATGTTAGCAGGAACACTGCTGGAGGACATTATTTCAGGCTGGAGTGTGGAAGGATGTGTGTGCATGTGCATCTGGTGGAGATTTTCAAGTATTTCCATGTGCCTGAACCCTTTCCCCACTCTTCACCCCTTCCTGCTGCCTATCTAGATGTGGCAAGCTCTTGGCTCTTTCTTCCTGGAAAATAAACTGCACCCAGCCAGGCTGCTGGGAATCCCACTGTGCACCCCCACTGGGCATTGCTGTGCTCCTGGCTGGTCACCTCTGGAGCTGGTGTTGTGCTGGGGCTGGTGGCTCACAGACACGTGGAGAAATTGAACCCAAAGGCAAGAGTGCCCAAAATGAACCAAGTCAAGGCCAGGATACACTGCTGGAGGAGAAGAGGGCTCTCCCTCACTGCAGTTAGCTCAAAAGGAGATCTAATTAACTTTCTTTATAGAGGTATTAAGATGAGAGTCACCCCAAACGCTTGCAAGGCAGAAGCCACAAGTCAAAAGAAGCAGCACAGCTATGTGGGATGGAGGGGCAGGGCATATGGAAAGGATTGGGAAAGGGGGTGGGGATTGGAGGAGACCACACGGCTCCACGCCTGACTTTGCAAACCCAGAGAAGTGTGAAAGCTAATATTCCTGTCAAACAGCATCCGTATGGTGCAAACTGAAATATATCCCGCTGGAAAACAAACAACCAAAAGAAAAGAGAGAGCAAGAGACATTCATTTCCTTTGCAGCAGAGTCAAGGAATCATCTTTTATAGGGCCCTGGCCAGAAAAGGCAATTGTTGAAAGGGTTGAAGGGAAATGAATTGTCAAAGGAGGCACATATTTGGATGATTAAATGTCAATATGTACCTTGAATTAAGAAAAAGGAATTTACACCTCATCTCACTGTGGCAGTGAAAACCAAATTAGAGTCAGACTGTAAATTTGCCAGCCAATTTGTTGGGCCACCTAAAGGCTTTTTCTGCCCAGAGAAATGCCAAAGCATAAGGTCCCCTGGGTGGGCAATAGTTGCTGTGGGCAGCTCTAGGTTGCTGAGCTCTGTGAGCCCTCTGGGCTCCTCCAGGCTTTCCTGGCTCTGTTCCCCTGGCTCCTGGCCCCAGTGTGCACCCAGGCAGTCCTGATGTGCTGTGTCACGCTGCAGGTCTCAGCTCCCTGACAGATGTGCCTGCCTCTGTGCCACTGGGCAGGAGCTCCTGCCAGGACTTCGTTATGCTGGAGTTTTCAGCAGAAGTTGCAGTGTAAAGATGCTGCCACCTTTCCCTGGCTGCTCCCAGCGGCTGCCCAAAGGGTTGGGAGGTTTGCCCTGGCATGTGCAGGAAGTCTTTGGCAGAAATGAAAGGCAGAATCAAGGTCTTAGCAACTTGCAACTCTGCACTTACCAACAAAACCTGACCCTCCTGGAGTGTCATAGGGGCACAGTTCCCTTCTGTCCTCTTGGAGCACCTTATGGTTCTCCTTTCATGCAATCTCCCTTCCTCACGGCTTTCCAGGCTGGGGAATGCACCCTCCTGTCCACCAAGGGACGTGCAGCAGTGAAAGAGTTAAAAGATTCATGTTAATAAATTCAGGCTGTCTTTTCCTCTAGGGCATATTTACATATTAATGGATGGGAATTGTAATGAACCTGTCTAGGGAGGCTAAAGGGGAAATTATGCAAGGTTGGCTCAGAAGGTGGAGGAGGGGAAAATGTTCATTTTCAGTGCTTTCCAACCCCTCAGCTGCAGAAGCATGTGACCAGCCTGGGCTCCAGGGCAGTGCCTTGCCTGGCATGGGACACCCCTGGAGTGAATGCAGAACCAGAGGGCAGGAGCTGTTCAGGCCCACCTTCATCCCTCCTGCTCTGGCTTCTCAGAGCTGAGCTTCACACTGCCCCAGATGTTATTTTAAGCCCAGGGTTACACCAGCATATTTCAGCAAGCATGTCCCAAATCATCACCCCATCCTCCAAGGCAGCTGGAGAAAATGCAGCTCTTGGTGGGCAGTCACAAGTGCAGCTCAACCACAATCAGTTTTCAGAGAGTCTCTCAGGGCTTTTCAACAACACTGTGTCTGCTTGGAGCAAGAGGCAAGGGAGCCAAGGAAGGGGATTTGTTCCTGGCTGGGCTAAAGTGCTTCCCTAGCCCATCCCTGCTCCTTCACACCAGGTGCTTGAACCTTGCCACAACCTTTGTTGCCTCAAGCCCCAGAGCTCTCTGCATGTGAACCCAAAAGCCTTTGACAGCTCATGAGACATGCCAGGAGCTTTGCCAGGTCTGCTTTCTCTGCTCACTGCTGAGGCCTCAGTGTGCAATCCCCACTCCAGCCCTACAGATTTTATCTCAAGAAGAACAAATAATCTGTTACTTTTGCCCTGCAATATCAGATAGAGCTATAAATCACTAGATAGGAGAGTAATTACTGGGCCTCTGATCTGATTTAGATTGGAAGATGGAAAAAGCAGCCTTTATTTCTGAAAGCAAAGGAGCACTTCTTCGGAACATCGGTGGTTACTCCATGTACCTCAATAGCTACAAACGGTTTATGCCCATGCAAATGAGATCAGGGCAGGACCCACTCAAATTAGCAGGATACAAAATGGCCTGGAGATTTTCTGCTGCAGATTTAGTTTCTCCCCCTCCACTCTCTCTCTCTCTCTCTCTCTCAACCCCCTGCTTACTGCTACTGCTTTTATCTCTGCTTGTAAAAGTCAGTGCAGCTCCAGTTACTCTGGGTGAGAAACATGAGGTCTGAGCCAGCATGGTCACTGAATGGGAGCAAGATTTTAAGAAGATCAATGTCTTCTGCTAGGTGAGGGTTGTTCTGCAGCAAGCCTAAATGCTGCCTGCAGAAGCAGGGAGCTTTCCAAAATCCTGTGCTGTTTCTTTTTGACATGCCTGGTTTTGGTGGGCAGTGTGGGGGGACACTGCAGGGTTTGGAGGTTTGCTGCTGGTGGGACTCCGGGGGACTGGGTGGTAGGTCAGGGCACGCAGAACTCATGCATCCATCACTCCTGCTCTGAAGGACTTAGAAGCCAAATGTTCCCACAGGTGTGGCAGACTTGCCTCTCAATATCACCCCTCAACAGCAGCAGGACCCGGAGACCAGCCCTGATCTGGGTCCT